TGATTGAGAATGACTGAGAATCAGAGTGTATGTATTTATACATGTTTGTAGTGGCTGAGGATCGGCGATTGAGAATGGGCGAGAATCAGAGCAGTAAAAATCTGTGAAGTGTAACGGGTGAAGTGTAACGGGTGAAGTGTAACGGGTGAAGTGTAACGGGTGAAGTGTAACGGAATAGTCTTATATAAATGATCGGGCGCAGCCTGCCACAATAATCTTGACTATAATCTTATACTAGAACTTATCTAACTATCTAAATAAGATATCTTATTGAAGACTTAAAACAGAAGCTTAATATTTTCTAACAATGATAGAATTCATGAAGATAATATTTATAAGACTATGAACCTTACACAGATCTCTGTCAATACTTATGAAATACTCTGAAAAAGAAGTCATCAATGAGATCACTGATAAAGTCACTGATAGCAGAATTATATATCACTCTATTTCATCAGTCTGATCAATATCAAGAAAGCTTTAAACAAGTTATCTTATACTATAATAACAGATTCTCATACAAAACTCTCTTAATAATATCATGAATATCTAGATATCTTCTGATAAGATAATATTATAAATATACTCTTTTTATAAAACTCAAAAGTGAATCACAGTATTAAGTTAGAAAAGAAGAATAATAAGAACTCTGAGTTATTATAAAGCTCTCTTTATAATATATCTTGAGATGAACTTCTTCTTCAGAAGACACTCAATGATCTGTTAAATAAGAATTTATATATATTAGTAACTCTTTCACTGCAGCTTCTATTCTCTTTACAAAGAAATCAGATAAAGAACTCTGATTCTATGTAAACTATCAAGATCTGAATAGATTGATAAAGAAAGATTATTATCTCTTATCTCTTATCAATAAAATCCTAGCATATATCAGATGAGTTTAATAATTTATAAAGCTAGATATTATCACTATATTTCATAAGATTTATATCACTGAAGAAGATGAATAACTTATAGTATTTTAAACATGTTATAATCTCTTTGAATGAGTAGTCACACTCTTTGAACTAGCTAATGCTCTCAGTATATTTCAGAAGTATATTAACTAAGCACTCTGAGATTTTCTTAATAAGTTTGTATCTGTATATCTAGACAATATTCTCATCTTCATTAATAGATTCAGAAAGAAATATCAAGAATATGTGTGAAGAGTATTATAATAATTATGATAGACAGAACTATCAATAGACATTAACAAGTTTGATTTTAAAGTCAAGAGTATAAAATATCTAGGTTTTATCATACAAGCTGATAAGAGAATTTGAATGAATTCTGAGAAGATCTCTGCTATTCTTAAATAAGAAGCTTTATATACTGTGAAAGATGTATAAAGCTTTATCAGATTTACTAACTTCTATCAGTGATTTATATAAAACTTCTCAGATATTATGAGATCACTTACAGAACTTATTAAGAAAAACTCAGTATTTCAGTAATTAGCAGATACTGAAGCTGCATTTATATAAATGAAGAAGATGTTCATTAATATCTCTCTACTGATAATATTTAATTCTGATTATAAGATAGTTATTGAAGCTGATTTCTCTGACTATATCATAGAAGAAGCTATATTATAATATAATAATAAAGATATCTTATAATTATACATCTTCATATCTAAGAAACTGAGTTTCTATTAAATGCAATTATAAGATCTATAATAAGAAACTTCTTATAATTATATACTGTCTAGAAGAATGAGACTCTGAACTCTGAAGTATCTTCAAATTTAAGATAATCACAGATTATAAGAATCTTAAGTATTTTATAATTACTTACAAGCTTACTGAACATCAGATATAATGATTCAAGTTATTAAGCTATTTCTATTTCACTATACACTATTATCTCAGCAGTCAGAACTTGATAACAGATGTTCTTTTATAATAAGAGTAAGATATACCTTCTGATATAACAGCTACTCATTGAATAAATCAAGAATATCAGCTCTTAGATCTGAATATATTAGTTGATTAAGATGAAATAACTTATAACACTATACATACTTCTCTGATTAGAATACTCTCTCTCTGAACTATCACTGACACTGACACTGATATCTTAACTTCTCTCACACTGAATAAACTGTGACATATAACAGTCTGAGCTGATAAACTTCTTCAGACTCTCACTGAAGTAGTATAATAAAAAGTGTCTTGATTCTTTTCAGAACTATGTATAAAGACTGATATCTCAGAATATTCAATTGATGATAATAATACTTCATAATTCTGTGAATAATATTGAGTCTCTTAGTCTGAATCTCTATACACTCGGATAATGTAAGAGATGTATGATTTATATATAATCAGTCATCTGAGTTATAAATAACTGTATTAAATAATCTCTTAAGAATTCTACTGATCTGAGATATTAAACAGTATCAGACACTTTATTCAAAACTGCAACTGTTATTTCTCTATCACTTTATAGAAGAATTGTAGAAAAGACCTGCTGAAATCACTTAATATCTCTTATAGAATCTGATAAGATATGATAATTAACTTCACTGTTAATCTCTCTAAGAGTAAGAATTATAGAAATATTCTGATCATTGTAAACTAATTGAGTAAAGATATAATATTAAAATCTTGTAATAAGATGAATACTGAATAAGTCACTGAAGTCTTTCTACAGAGCTCATTCTATTAAATATATAAATTACTGAGATCTATAGTATCAGATCAGAACTGTTAATTCATGAGTACTCTCTGAATAAGAATCTGTTAAATTTTCAAGATTATACACTATTTATCAACTGTCTATCACTCTGAGATCAATGATATATCAGAATAGATAATTCAGACTGTAAAGAACTATCTTTATAAGTTATATAATTATTTATAGAATGATTGATATAATCTTCTTCTATATACAGAGATTACTATTAATGACTAAGATACTGTCTTAATAGATATAAGCCTGTTCTTTCTTGTATATTATTATTACATAAAAGTGTTAAATCTTCTAGAGATTATACAGTTTATACTGAACTTCTGCAGTCTTATTCAGATCACTGATAATATAGTAATAAAGCTCTGAGATATCTATGACTGAGCAGAAGTCTTCATAACAAGCACTAAATAAGATTAAGAGAACTGAATTAATATTTACTGAGATCTCACTGAGTAATATAAGATAGAAGACCTGATATAATTGAATCTTAAAAATATACAGATTATACACTCATCTCATACACTGAATTATCATTATACTGAGTATAAAGTGATAGAAGTTCTAGACAGTTATAACTACTATCTTAACATATTATCAGAGATTTATAATATCTTTTATATAAGCTTACTTCACTATACTATCACTGATTCATTCTCTTCTTAACTGACTTTTGACTAACAGTCATCAGAGATTATAGAGAAAGATAATAAACTTAAATAAAAGATTGAAGATATTCTTAATAAGAGATTCTGCAACTGCAGCTAATAATATCTTATAAAATAAGTTAGTTATAATCATCTAATCTGAAAATGAGTGACATTTTCTGTAATAAAGAATATATTTTTAAAAAGAATATAAATTTACTAATCAGTGAATTCAGAGAAAATAAAATATTTTTAATAAAAGATAAGAGTCTTTCTGAAAAAGATAAACTACTCTGTTGATGCAACATTTTAAAAAGAAAAACATGTTATTTAGACTATAATCTGTAGAATAGTTGAAAGTAGTATTGATAGAGCTATCTACAAAGAGCTTAATATAGTGGTTGGTCACGTGATATAGGGAGATTGCCACAGGCAATAGCCGCAACGGCCGCATCACTGCAAACCTTTTCTGTTAACTAGCTCATTCTCGTTTAGTTATTTGACTGCTCTAGTTAACTATTCAAAACCTCTTCCCAATCCCTAGTCGTACCGATGTTGGTTTGTTTTTCATATTTCCTTATCTCATAGATCATAGATTGGGATTAGGCCTAGCCCTCAGTGCACCTAAAATATCATTTTCATGTTTCTCATCTCGTTTCTTCGTTTAACTTTTCGTATAGCCGCGCTGTCGGCTTCGCCTTGCCAGGCTGAGCGTTCAGAGTCCCCTAATCCCATATCCAATTATTATTCGGATCGCTCATTAAATTCCTCGATAGATGAACGAGCAAATTGATATACACTCTCCACGTGGTGAGAAATAGTATCATGCAAGTCTCCGCAGGTTGCAGTAATATCCACAAGCTGTGGTCAATTCCAGAATATGGATGTCAGGATTTCTCCACGGGCGCAAAGTAATTATGAACAGTCCATATCACTAATAACTATTCCGAGTTACTCAAAGCAAATGGCCAAGATACAGCCAAAGTGTGATGCCATATTCTCCATAACCCACCAGTACAGTACCCACCCCTCTGCATTTTCCAGGGACCGTCCCATTAAATCAGCAGGGCGCAACAATACCATACCTGAAACTCAAACCTCTTTCTTTCACAGAAGGCTCACCTGGATGTGGAACGATTCTAAAGAGATTTTTACTTATTTGACCAGAAAATAGGACCACCTACTCCGAACGTACGTTCCAAATCCAAAAGATCTCAAACGGTTATTTTTTTACCGAATCCATCGTGAAGTTGACCTCGGCCTAGTTTGTTATAACAAAGTGCATGATACATGAACTAATCAAAAAGCGCAGGAACCCCGCCTGGGGCATAATCGGGTCTGATTTAGTGTTGCGCGCTCTGGGAATGAACCTATATTTCAGCATACTGCACGTCTTTCAGTGACCTAGTTACTTCGCGATGTTTATGTTAAATTCTAACGAATACATCTTGAAAAGCTTTACATAGCATTTTCATCACCGATTGAAGCCTGGCTCGGGCAGTTCTCTCACTGGCTATCTTGTTGCGGGAAAACGACCCAGGAGGCGTTGATTAAGGGCAAGGCCGAGACGTTTTCCTACGAGAGATGCCGTGTAGCGATAACCATGGCGCAACATGGGCCAAGGTCTGGACGCCATTTTTAGACACACATTGATCCCTGATGGTGATGCAGATGCTCTTGCGGTTGAGCGGGTGTTGTCATGGTTTTGGCTCCGAAGCCTGGAAGAGGAACAGCAGACGCGTCTTCGGCTCTTGTGAAGTTTTGATTTTCCTGCCGTACCTCCCTCGAAGCCATCCATTCCTTTGTCACTGGAGCATGTCTAGCCAAGGTAACGCCTGTCAAGATCCGCCTGATTACACCCTATCTCTCTTCTCGTATTACGATATTGTTTCCTCTAGATCTTGCCGTTTGTTGTTGGAACTGCTCATTGCCAACTCCTACATGCCGTATTGAACCCTGACTTACGAAACAACTTCAGGGTACCAGCTGTCGATGCCGGAGCATTTCAGGATTGGCATGCTTTGGCAGTGGGAACCTTTATATTTCGGGTACTCTACCCGGAAGCGGATCGACTCGGTTTTTATTTCCCATGCGAGATTCATGGTTCTCATGACTATTGAATGGTTGCTTCACCACCGATACAGCATGTCTGACTCTGTTCTACCCATTACTTTATTCAGATCAGACGGACTGGACATTTTGGTGCGTATTCTGGTGACTGCTGATTACAATCAACAGCGTGATGTCTCGCTAAAACACTTATTACACCATTAACTTAAACCCAATATGATAGCGTTTTACTCAGAATTAATAGTCTTTGCGCATCATGTGCATGCATCCAACCTCGATCTTGCACCAAGTTTTATCGAGCGAGCGTTCCATCAACATCCGGAATTCACTCGCGAATCAAGCCCTATTCGCGATTGTATATTGACCAAATACATTATTAGGAGAGCGTGCCTGGAGCAACTATATCCCGCCGTCTTTAGCAATAATTTGATAGTACGTCTTGTTTGCCTTGTTCCGATGCTTCCTTATAAGGTTATACAGGTACTCCTCCGTCCAACCCAGCTGTCAACAGCGGCTGATCGCATGAGTAACATCGCTGTACTTCATGATACAGCTTATAAGTTGCTAAGAAGAACCAGTACTCTACAGCAGAAGCTTTCTGCTTGTGAAACGTCGTTTAAGTTCATGGGAATACTGCTTTGAAAGAGATGACCTGAGGGCCACCATACCTTTAAATGAAACTCTTCTCTCTTAACATTCTTGGGTGAGAGCGCGCAGAACTGATATACTTTGCTCAGGTGATGCCAATAAAACCCATTTAGTTCCCTGCCTTTCACTACTAGTGAGTTCACACTCTAAGGCTTTTTGCATACCAACGAACACTTTAATGATCGACGCATGACATCTGTGTGGTACGGGCAAACCCGCTCTCCCAAGTACTTCGAAACGGGGCCAATAATGACATTCTATCACCCAAGTCATCATATGCGCCCAGATATAGGATGGGATGGAAGAAATGGAGTTAAATGAGAAAAAGGAAAAAAAAAAAAAAGGGTGGCAGAACTTGACAGCCACCTAACATATGGTCAATGATACGACAACTACGAGATCTCTTTCTATTCGCCAACGTCTTTTTGGCATCCTTGATCAACACTTCTACAGCACTTGGATACATCATGGGATGATGGCGACGCCAAATGACTTCACTCAAGACATCCAACACCCGTCCTCCTCGTTCTACTTCTAATCCTGCTAACTCCGGAATTACCCATTGTACAGCCAGATTTATAGAGCAGTCTAGAAGGCCCGAAACTGTCTCGTCATTCCAATGATTATCATTTGCTGTGATTCACTGGTTTATAATAGGCCTTTCTAAGGTCTTTCTTCTACCCTGATGATTCTGAATAGTATCTTCCGCAACTCGGTACGGCGACACTTCACAGGCACAATCATCGCCAAATAGGTTTCCTGAACGGCCCAACCAAACTGACAATGCGGATCAGAACACATTCCAAGCTTATCAGGGATTCCCCTTGGTTCTCACATTGCTTGCCCCGTTCCTTTCGCTTAGTATCTTGGGAGTATACAACACGGTTGCTCACTTGCGTCCTTGCCATTACCCGCAAAATCCTTTCACGAACGTCTAAGAATCACGTCCTGCCTCTCTGGACGGCCAAAACTCGGAATCGCAGCCTTCCTCACCGTGGATTGTATGTACATGATGTACCCCTGCGTCAGTCCGTGTATTCTCAGTGGAGTGATCTCTGCTCCTGCACCAAGCCATTTCGCCAAAAGCCGCCCTGTGGACATAGAACAAAGCCGTCCTTATGCTACCACTCCCTTTTCAACGAGCAGTCATTAGGCTTTGACCAAGCGGGGTTATGGACATCCGGTGTGGCCGAAAATTTCTTGTCCTCTTATTACCTTGCGCCGCGATTCTCTCATACCAAACTGCCTTACAGTCTTGCTAACATCGAGGACGAGAATCAACATTTCTGTCTCGGAACTTGAGTGACCAGGTGTATTCATTAACGCCCCTATTTCACAACTGGTGGATGGCAGCATCCCTTGCCATCCCAATGCAAGATTTCGCTCTTCCGTATCCAATCCCCATAGCCTTTCCTCCATGCTTTTGCTGAAGATCAACGGACATGTCCATTTGATGTTAACCGCATTCACATTTCGAGCCCATGACCTAGGCTCGTATAAAATTGTAACCCCATCTACAGCTTTGTCTTCCTAACGACTCTAAGTTTCAAGATGCACCGCCCTCAATTCGGATATACCCCGTCGAATAGGCCATACTCCTAATAATCCAAGTTCAGGGCGCCGCACGTATAACGTATACTTTGCACCATGCCTAATCCCGCCAGTCGTCTCCCGCTTTATCTCCGTTGGCAGACTCAATGGAGTTCCCATGGTCAACCCCTCATCCAGCACATCTCACACGCTGAAGTTTACCACCTTCGCCCCCATAGATGATCTGGACTGTATATTTACTGTAACTCAGGATTGTACAATGGAACTACAACTATATATGTACCTACATCCGCTCTGGTTCAGCGGCCTGGGATATACTCATTCGCCTTCCCATTTATCTCGAGGTTTCCCATTTCTCTACTACCCCTTGGCTCCTCAGTCCAGTCCTCTAAGCTCCTGTATACCTTGCTCATTTTACTTCCTCTTTAATTGAAGAGCAGGCCATTCAATTCCTCCTGCATTTGCTTGGACGTAATTCCCATTAGCGGATCCCTTACGTTTGTTCTCATCGTCGTTCACAAACTTGCCACCATCCAAATTCAAAGACAATTGAAGGCCGGATATCATCGGCCACTTCTCAACATGTTGCCCGGTTGTGATCCCGAGGGACTGCTACCCCCGACATCGCTGAACGCGGACTTAGCTACGATGGCCACTAAGTTAATGGTGTGCCAGAACTTAACCGAAATACTTGAGTCATCCGCTCGTTACTGTAACGCACCTATAGAATTCCACCATGCAGATTTCACAATCCCATCCAAAGTTCTGACTACACGACAGCTCCGGTACCAAGCTCATGAAAATGCCCAACTCATTCGTGATGTCCACAATGTTACGGAGGATACCATAGTGTTGATCCATTTCGATAATCATGAGCAGAATATTATATGGCTCTGGTCTACTGTGATAGGCGGCTATCTGCCTGCAATGTCACCGGCATTTGTGAACGATCTTGCTCAGCGGCGAAAACATATTTTGCACCTCAATTCACTGTTCAAAGTGCCCCTTATTCTTACGTCGGATCGGTTAGTTCACGAGTTTCTGAATATCGACGGGCTTCACATTGTCACTGTCGAACGCCTCGTAAACAAGCTACGCAGTGGCGTCAGCCGTGTTCCCAGGACAAACTTCGGCCACCAAAAGGAACCAGAGGATGCGGCCATCCTCATGCTCACGTCGGGCAGCACTGGAAACGCAAAGGCAGCAGTTCTGAGGAACAATCAGATTAAAGCTGCTCTGGCGGGAAAGGTAGCTCATCATGGTACAGAAAAAGGTGATGTTTTCCTAGGCTGGGTCGCCCTAGACCACGTTGCATCACTTTGCCAAATTCATTTGCATGCCCTTGCTCTGGGTGCCAGGCAGATTTTCGTTGACAAAGCGGATGTTGCAAACGACCCCCTGCGTTTCTTGAACCTCATCCACAACCTTCGAGTCAGCGTGACTTTCGGTCCAAACTTCTTCTTGACAGCGTTGTCAAATCTACTCGACAAAATGCAGCCTTCTACGGCAATAACCAGAGGCTGGGATTTGTCATGCTTGAAGGTGATATTTTCAGGAGGCGAAGCGAATACCGTCCAGACTTGCATCAGTGCCATGGCACATTTGGAAACATTGGGTGCCAGGAAAAACGTTGTGAGCCCAGGATTTGGGATGACTGAAACCTGCGCAGGTTCAATGCATAACCTCTCCTGCCCAGATTATGATATCAAAATGGGTTTAGAATTTACCTCCGTGGGTCCATGTATTCCGGGCTTAGCTGCCAGGGTTGCTGGCGACAACGGTCTTGTCATCAAAAGTCCCAATGTTCCCGGTGCTCTGCAGATCAAGGGCGAATGTGTGCTTAAAGAATATTTTAACGACCCGTTTGCAACATCTATCAGCTTTACCAGAGACGGGTGGTTTATTACAGGAGATACGGCTCTCATCGATGATGCTGGCTATGTACGCCTCTGCGGTCGAACAAAGGATCTCATAATAGTAAACGGGGTTAATTACTATCCCCACGAGCTTGAACGTGCTATTGAAGAAGCTAAACTTCCTGGATTGACCCCTACGTATACAGTCGTGTTCTCTCATCGTCCCGACGGGGCTTCTACTGAAAGGGTCGTGGTAGTGTTCTCCCCGGCTCATGGTTATACGAATGCCGCAAGTCTCACAGTGTCATTCGATGCGATCTCAAAGATCACAGCCAGGCTATTCGGGGTAAGTCCGTACCAAATAGTACCGGTTGCCGCAACCTTAATCCCAAAGTCGACGCTTGGAAAGATCTCATCGCCGAAAATCGCGGCAGAATATCGCGCCGGGGGATACGATACTTATTATGCGGAGGCAGCAGAAGCCATTAAATTATATCGCCAAACCAATCTAAGGAGGCCTGAAAGTGAAACTCAGAAGTCAATCGCTGATTTATTCGCGGAGATGTTCCACACCCCATCTTCTGAAATTGGAATTGACACCAGCCTCCTAGATATGGGAGTTTCTTCCATTGAACTTTTCGCCTTTAAATCAAACGTACACAGGATTCTCTGTCTGGATCAGGAAATCCCATTGATATCTGTGTTAATGGACCCTACAATCCATGGCATTGCAACGGCGATACAAGAAATGCAGCAACCAAAACAGTATAATCCCGTTGTTAAGCTCCATGCATCTGGCGAAAAGCCGCCTCTTTGGCTTGTACATCCCGGTGTTGGCGAGGTCTTAGTTTTCTTGAACCTCGCCAAGTATATCAATGACCGCCCGCTATATGCACTTCGCGCTCGAGGATTTGAAGAAGGGGAGGAGTTTTTCAAAGACCTCCCTGAAATATTTACAACGTACTTTCAACACATCAAAACTACTCAGCCTCTTGGACCATATGCAATCGCGGGATATTCTTTTGGCGCCATGATTGCCTTCGAAGTCGCGAAACTCCTCGAAGCCGATGGCGATGAGGTCAGGTTCTTAGGCTCTTTCAATCTACCACCACATATCAAAGACCGCATGCGCCAGCTCGACTGGGTGGAAGCTGGCATCAACCTCTCGTACTTCTTAGATCTAATATCAGAGGAGTATGCCCACGAAATATCGCCTAAATTACATGAGCTCTCTAACGATGATGCCCTCGATCACCTTATGTCCCATGCTTCCCAGGGCCGCCTAGCGGAGCTCTCTCTAACTAAAAGTAAACTGAAAACTTGGATTACGCTTGCCCACAAGATGCAGGAAGCCGCATTAGAGTACGAACCTTCTGGGTCAGCGGCAAGCATTGACGTATTTCACGCGATACCCCTGAAGCAAGTCGCAGTGAACGGAACCGATTGGATCGAGAATAAATTGAGCAAATGGGCAGATTTCTCGCGGGAGCCGCCCCGAATGCATCATGTGGACGGTGCGCACTATACAATGATGTCGCCAGAGCATGTCTTTACGTTTCAAAAAACTCTTCAAAAGGCTCTGCGCGAACGTGGACTTTGAGATATGCTGCCGATGCATGAATGACAGGGGCCATTCCTACAGATGGTCACTGTTAATAAACACGAAGTCTGACAGCATTCTTCTGCCTATACTTTGGGACACACCGCCCCTGTCTATGTTTAGCTTTTCTTTCTTCTCGTGAATATATTTATGTTTTTATGTATCTTCAGTGGTTGATGATTAATCGACTAAATCTGATATTTGTTTCTGGCTTCAAGCATCTATTCATCCCCACCGCCCAGATTCCCCTATTCCTCACCAGCCAATCTTCTCATGTTCCTCTCCTTTTCCGTAATTTACTCTTCTAATGTTCAATGCATATGCCTTCTTATTGAACTTATTATTCACTGAGACATCAAATTGTTTACTGGGCAAGTGGAAGCATTGAAATGGCGGACAGGAGGGTCTCTCCTACATCCCTCGGAGGCCTCGCTTTTTAAATCTGTCATTTAATATAATTGGCTACTCTTTGATAATGTCGATCCTTCACAATCAGCCTAATTGACTCCCAGCTCTCCCTATTTCCTTTGTCCACGATCCTGAGGTCAGAATCTAATTTTTATTCACTTTCATTCATCTTTTACTCTAATGGGTAACTTAACATACTTGTTAACAAGCCAGATAGCTACTCAAATCACATTCACAACGACTATCAGCAAATAGCCAGAATGCATGAAGATATCATACCGAAGTAAGAATAAATTCTTAATTTAGCAAAGGGAATCTCGCGACATTCAACAGGAAAAGGAGATAATGGTCGCCAATGCCAAATAAGGTCCAGGAGAATATATTTCTTCCTTTAGTTAGAATGCTATATCACCAATGTCTCACAGTAACCAACACTTTTTCCTTCGAAGGAACATTCTCTCCGCTCTCAAGCTGCGGTGTGCTACGATCCAATCTATGGAGCAAGCGCCAAACAACCTTCTGATTCAAGCCCTCGCGCACTGGGATTTTCTCCAGTGCATCTGTACCGTTGAAGTATTTAGTGAAAAGCGGCCAATATTTCTGAAGCGAAGAATCGGCATCGATGCTCTCCTCTGGTGATGGAGCGTTGTAGCTATCCATGCTGGCAAGCTGGGAGGAGGGTTCTGGGAATCGCGAGAGAATTTCGTCCAGCCAATGAGACTCTAGGGATGATGCGCGGTGCGGTCGCAATATAAGAGAAGAACTATACAGCCGCCCTTTTTGTTTTTGAGTTTCAGTATATTTGTCGTAGTTGTATTGCTGGTTTGAAATCCTGTTTGGGACGGGGGTTGCTTCGCCGCTGTCTTCGCTCTCAAGAGATGACGAAGATGAAGATTCAGCATCGTCGTTGTCGTCATGGCCGTCATCATCGACGGGCTTACTATCAATTTTAGAATCTGCTTTGGTGGAAGATGCTGCACGCACTCTCTCTTCAAGTTCTTTCTCTTCTTTCTCCCTTTCTAGTGCCTCATCCACCGCTTGTTTGATCTCTGGGTCTACTCTGACCCATCCAAACGTTCGGAGTTGAGTAACCCAACCCCCTCTCAGTAGCCATGCCAGAATCGCGTAATATATCTCCTTATGGTCCTTGCTGGGTATTAATCTAGAATATGGTTTAGGGGTATCGCTCAAAGCGTGGAGCATCTTCGGAAGGCTGGGTAGTGTTGGGAATGCAGCTTCGTAAGCCTCAGCTGCCTGCGCAAGCTTGCTCATGTCGGCGTTGGGGGAAACGATATATGTATCCCGTTGGCTCAGTGGAGGCACGGCTCGGGCTCTCCGCCAGTAGACAAGGTGGCTGGCAAGCACTTGGATGTCACTCAAAGGAATTCCGGAGAGGGCAGATATTTGGGCAAATGATTTGGTTGGTTTAGAGACACGAATATAGTGTGCAAGTCGTGCGCCTAGAGGCCCAATTGACCCTTCAATGTCTTTTAGAATCGTTGCTTCGTCAGTTAGGAGAAGCAACGCAAAATGTTTTGCTAGAACCTGGTTGGGTTCGCTTGTTTCCATGCCTGTAGCTTCATCGGTAGCGGAGAGACTATCCGCAGTGGTAAGCCATAAACCGGGGTAGGCCTTTTCCGTGGCACTTGGAAGATAAGAAGTAGAAGTTAAGGGTGGAGCCTGAAGAGACATCGTTGCTTCAGGTGTGAGTGTAACCGATGCGATTCTAGAGTTAGAAATACTTGTATAGACTGTAGATATTGCTCGAGCAAGGGAAGATTTCGAGTGTAGTTCCGAATAAAGTCTGGACAGTGACATTTCTGTGTTTGAGTGTAAGCATAACAATCTCGAATCCATTTCAAGATGTAGCATGCGACATAAACGACATTTAATATCGGATACATACTGCTTTCTTTCGCTTTCTCCTTGATATTGACAATCGTCCGAGCCTCTTTCCAAACGTAGTCTACCCTTGCCTGTTCCGACTTTAATCCTTTGCCAAACTTCTTAATCACGTTCTCATACTTCTCCCGCACTCGTAAACCATATTCTAGCAGAGGTGGGTTCAATACAAAAACTACATTGAACATCGTCATCGAATCCTTATCAGTTTCTGGAGACCCAGGAGGTACGGGATCTTGAACGATGTTTTGGTCTTCCGCAACAGGGTCATTGTCGTCTTCTGTTTCCGACGGTTGTTTTGTATCGTTCTTCTGATCACCGTTCTCTTTATCGTCATCCCCTAGTTCCTGGCGCTCCCCGGACGGCCGTTGCTTTCTAACTTTCTTCTTCTTCTTCTTCTTCTTCTTCCGTTTCCTCCAGGTCCCATCTTCCCTCACAAACACAGGCCATCCCACAAATACAAGGTCGTTAAGACCCACTTCAAATCTCCGCTTATGCCATGATGGGGGTGGACTTAGCAATTTCTCCCACACATTGGTCGGCAGTCCCAGTAAAGATTCCCACGGTGGTTGGTAAAAGTGTCCTAGATCTTCCCCTCTTCCCGGATCCGGCTGGTTATCCTGCTTAGGGTCGGGCGTCACACTTCTTCGCTTGAACTGCACGGAAGAGGAGACACTATGCCCCCTAGCAGATGGTGCATGGGAATTTTTATCACCCAGTTTTTCACTCAGTCCACCCTTCCCGATGTGCTCGCTGACTCCTTGACTAAGGGAATTACCGCCAGCTGAGGAATGACCGCGTTCGTCCTCCTCGTCGTCAGAGCTTGACCAATCGTCATCGCTGGATGGGCTAGACTCAGAGCTTTTAGCGCCGCCTTTACGGCGCGAATTGCGGCGGGATTTGCTGCCTATGATAGTGGATGGGTTGGGAGGGTAGTGATAGACAAAGCGCGGACCAGCGCGAGATTGGATGATGAGGATTATGGCAACCAGACATGGATCTGGAGGTCGTACGATTGAAGACATTTGTGTCTACATTATACGGTTAGAAGAAGTCAAGGCTGGTTTGATGTGTCGGTTGCGGTTTATGGCTGGAAGGAAGCCAGTGTTGTTTTAAAGTGGCTCAATAAATTGGGGGTTGAATTGGATCGAAATCCCATGCCATCACATATGCAAATGAAATTGCTTCTCTTACCAAACTCAAACAAAATCCAGACAATTCTTGAGACAGAACCCACTCTATCCCCCCTCCTATGCTACGGGAGGACAGTATTATAGCGCGAATGACGTCTATTGAAGCTCCAAGCATGGATTACATAATCTACACTTTGACCTGCTACTGAAGTCACGTGTCACACATTCTGTATATAAGAGAACCTCTTACACGTCTCAAAACAGTGATTTTGACTACATGGAGGCACCTAGGAGTATTGACTAATTCGACATGGTTGTATTAATGAGACGCTGTGATAGATATATTCCCATATCTAACATATGATTTTGCTCAACACCACGTCTGTCGGACTGTACCTGGCTTGGTGATGATGGCCTCGAGGCTACGCTCAACGATGTTAGTAACCTAACGACGTCCCACCCGTACTCCGAGAAACTGTCAGGGACAATTAAGTTAGAGTAAAGGGCAGTTTAAGCACCTTAGACTTATGGCTGACTCTCGGCAAGCACTGTCTCTATCCCGGGGAATGAAGGCATGTGGCGTATAATGCGGCCACGAAGGCACATTCGGATGAGCGCAAATTGGCGTATTGCAGAAATATGATTTCGAATATGTCCAAAGCAATGAAAATGATATATCATACAAAAGCGAGAGTTTTCCATCTCGATCTAAATTTCTTTAGACGCAACAAGTCGTAAACTCCAAAAGAAAAAAGAAAAAAGAAAAAAAAAAAAAAAAAAAAAGAAAAAAGCAATGGCCAACAACGCCACTGATGTCTTATATACAAAATACAACGCGGAATGTAACCGCTTCCGTCTCTAATATATAGCATAGTATAAAACGATGTCACGATTTCTTACTCTCCGGAGTCCCGCTCTCAAGAGTCTTGCTGTCCGAAGATGCCGTGGAACTAGCGGCTTCCGTGCCATTTTTTTTCTGGCCTTCATCAAAGACAAGTCCCAAGTTCTCAAAATTGTCCGGCGCCATCAGATTGCTAAGGTCATGTGTCAGTCTTCCAGATGGTGAAATACATAAACACCCTGCGCACCAAAAGGGGGGTTGAAACGTGATAAACATACTTTTCCATCCGGCAGGTTAAGTAGGATTTGGCTAGCTTGCGACAGTGCTCATCATTGACACCCCCTTCTTTCCTCAGACACTTGAGATATGATGAGATTATGTATTTGCATTCTCCTATCAGTCAGATATGCATAGCGTCAGTAACAGGCATATCAGTAATTGTGCATGTGCGGATATATCGGGAATAATTTTTCCAAAAAATCCACAAGCGGGAACAAAAAACGTACCATCGTGATCGAGCGGAAAACTTCCTCGTTCAGGCCTAAATCAGCAGTAACAACACGAATTAGCAAGATTATCTCATCACACGCAGATATTAGAACTTAGAGCAAGCTTCATATATATATCCTTTTTCAGGCGCGGATATTGGCGCTGGGAATTGAAAGCCAGGGCGACATACGGTGTAGGTTTGATATTGGCGGCACGACCGCCGGGACCGCCAAAACTCATGTTCAAGAAAGATATATAGAACGGTATTTTTTATTTGCGCATATGATATATGCAGGTAATGGGAAATGCAAAAAATGGATAAAGAATAGAAAGATATAAAACTGATTGTTGTTGAACTACGGATTCATTGCAAGTAATCTTGCCGGGTATTGCTTGTGCAAACAGTGCAAACAGCGCAGCATGCGCGAGACGGAAGAAAGCCGTTCTCGTGGCCTCCTGACCAATGAAATTCCGCTGGTCGTCTAGTTGGTTTATGGCACTGGACTGTAATATCTTGTCTGCTATCCAGGTGTCGTCGGTTCGACTCCGACCCAGCGGAGTTAATTTTATCTTTTCTGTTTTTGAACTTTTTGGCTGTTTGTTTTCATTGTTTTTGTTTGCCTCAAGGGTTCTGTCAAATTTTTCCGAAGTTCCTACCCTACCTGCTATTCAGTAATATATAAATCCGGCGTAGTATGGTGTACAGAGTAACACCCCGATCAATACTATACAGAGTAGACCGTCGTCCACTAAAGAAAACTTGAGTGGAAACGCAGAAGAGAGCAACTGAGAGCATTGATGTAAAAGGGAAAGAAAAAAAGAAGGAAGAGATATTTAAATGCGAAACACGATGGAAAAAGAGGAAAGGGAAGTGAAAAGGAAAAAAAAAAAAAAAATGTAGGCAAAAAGAAACAATCCTCCGCTGGGTCGGAGTCGAACCGACGACACCTGGATAGCAGACAAGATATTACAGTCCAGTGCCATAAACCAACTAGACGACCAGCGGCTGATAATTGGAAGTCTCTGAGCCCCAAAGAACTTATATTCCTGATCACTTGTGCTGACCTTAAAATAGTCGAACAGGGGATTTTACATGCTGTATGAAATTCTCTTTGAAATAAAATAATTATACAATTGCGTTATTTCTACATACATGATCTAGCTCTCCATAGTTAGTTACAGCCTTCCGCAACTCAGGGTTAAGTCGTGCCGCTCTATCATAGTCCTGATGATTCTACCCCTCCCTACGACGTCAGTATAGCATCATATGTTTCCAATATATTAGACGGGGAGAAGGAATTATTATTCAGCATCCTGAAATGATCCTGATCCGGCGCATTGCATCAAGATATTTCCTCACCACGGGGTTCAATTTACATTTCAAAAAAGACTCACAGCAGGATCTCCGCACTCTATCCACAAAAAACGCATTTTAGGGTTCCATAGCAGTTGTTGATCGAATATGCCGATGTGTGTACCATAATTTGTTTCTTTTAATAGTAGCTATGCATATGTTCATTGTTATAATTCAACCTGGCGTACACTACAAAGAGATCGAGTTATCTAATGAATTCCTCGGCCAAATGAAAAAAAAATAGGAAACTCGACGGAAGCTGCCAATGCGGCGGCGTACAATTTACCCTCAACTCGCAGACGCCAGTCCCATATCAGCTATGCGCCTGCAGCATTTGCCGTAAGGTGGGTGGGTACAGTGGCAGCGTGAACCTGGGCGGCATTGCCGACTCGCTCAATGTGCTTCAGGGGAAGGAGTTGATTAGGTAGGTGTTTTACCTATGCCGTCTCCCTCCCAGTCTACACTTCACAGAGGTATTGATATACCCTACTACACCTGCTGTACAAACTTATCTAACAAAACCCCCGCGCCCCTCCCAGGAAATACACCGCCGTAAAAGACCGCGGCACCCCGCACGAGGAGCCCTGCTCCTCCGAGCGTAGCTTCTGCTCAAACTGTAGCACCATGCTGTGGGTCTGGGACAAGCACTGGCCGCAGCTGATCCACCCGTTCGCCGCGGCGATTGATACCGACCTGCCCGTGCCGGAGGAGATGGTGTGTATACTGGCGGACTCGAAGCCGAAGTGGGTGCGCTGGCCGGAGGGGAAGAAGAGTGTGTTTGAGAAGTTTGGTGGGGAGAGTTTGGAGGGTTATCATAAGAAGAATGGGTTGTGGGTGGAGTGAGTTGGAGGGAGGGAAAGAGGGTGGACATGGGTTGACTGGTTACGGTACGGTACGGTACTAAGGGAAGTGTGGTTTAGAGGGAAATTTGGAGATGGATATATTAACATTTGTTGATTATGATATAAAATTGGTGGCTATCTAATGTGTATATATATGGGCCTCTGCTATGCCGTTCAAAATCAAATGCCGGAGGGAGAAGTCCTAAGTATTAAGCTTATTCGTAAATGTTAGCAAGGCAATTGGTATTTTCGAAGGGTATAGCGAAAAAGACGTAGCAAGGATGGTGAAAAGGGTATCAGGTCTCCAAGATGATAGTTGTCCTCAAAGTCAAGACTCGGGAAGAACACAGCGAAATAATTGAGTTCATCAGGTGGTTTTCAAACGAAAAGGAAACTGGAGGCACTGCCAGAAAAAGACAAAGGTAACATACCCGTCCAATCATGAAATAGTCTACATTACTGATAGTCCCTAGAATCACATCGAAGTGAATTAGCGATGGGCCAATACAAAAACCAAGGTAATAAATATCTCGACAGATATTCCAAAAACAAATCCATGGCGTATCGTCTAATCTCAGGCTTTGAGCCTACACGTCAGCTTAAATGTCCAAACTAACAGGTATGTACAATGAACGGAAGGATTATATTATTTTAGACATACCTCATTAAATCAGAATTTTCAGTGTAAGTACGTTCATATCCCAAACACAATGGTGCCGGGTTCAAACAGTGTGAATAATACTCATCATAAAAGAGACGACAGCCGCTAGGGCGAAGACCCAGGAAAACGGAAACGGGGGGTTATCTTCATTGCGAATAGGGAGTATTGAATTTACCTAGAGAGTATGCAGTGTTAGTTGTATCTCCACTTTCATAACTAATACTAGCGGCACGCGAGGCAAAAAGGCGGTGTCATAAAAATAATCAGCTGACGAATTCTCAACAAGCGATCCGACGACTCCAGCACCCAGCAGAGTTTGTACGCTCAGCATGTAATGGATGAGGAGCGACGGATGCAGATCTGTCCGCCCGTTCGTTCAAGTATTCTTCATAAGAATGGCATGACCCAAGGTACAAGGGTACAAGGCAATTTTATCCAAGAGGAAAAAATGAGACAATTTCACAAAAGCATACCTAAAGCCCGGAAAAAAACGTTGTTAGCAACGTTGCTTAGAACGGGTGTATATATGTCAAACGCTCAAAGAAAAGTGTTGGATTGAGAGTTGTAAATCAGACAAGGCTGAAACTTGTAAATTGACAGTTTCCACATGATAACTTAAGTTTGAGGAATGCCTTTGCATGTCGTAGGGTCATCATATAAGGGGAGGGAGGGATTGATAGCAGAGAAAGATGGTTTCCCAGGGTGGAGGATAATACCTCAACAACGTACCTTTTACAAATTGGTTTATTTTCAATGATCACACCAAAGTCAAGATATCTATCAACATTGAGATGACGAGAGATACTGGAACAGATTTCCTAGACGAAGACAGGTCAGTCAATCAGCGATGTCCAAGAACGTAGCGAATAAATGGGCAGCTGCGTAGTAGATCAGAGAGGTTTACCAATAGCAATATTGGCATCCGTCACGATGAATAGGATTTGGATTGTTCATGTTGTAAGGAAAGTCATCACATAAGAGGGAAGAATAGAAAAAAGATGGAGAAAGGCTGCAAGATTCTTACCTAGCTAAAATGGAAAACATGGCAAAGATAACCTTGGAAAGTCCATGGCATTGTAAAGAGCATTATTCCCAATCCATAGTCCTCTAGCTCTGGAAGAAAGTTTTCATTGGAGCTTTTCTGATGTGCAGCTGTTGGTAACTATTTGTTGTGCGGAGAGAAGAAATGCTTCGGTTGTGAAAAAAAAAATCGGAAGAATTTATGGAAGAACGCTAGGCTACGGGAGGCCGGTACGAGCCAAACGCGCACTCGAATGCCACTACGGAGTACACAAATAGTGTATTATTGATTCTCTCCCCCCTACTCTTCGCACTCCCAATCCTCCAGTGCAAATCATACCGTCACAAACCTGAGTATAAATAAAAATCCAAGGGATAGCTGTTGTCCCATCGATGGCTACCCCAAGTGCGCTCAGTTTCGGCAAATACAAATGACAACGTCCAGGACCAGGCAAGAATGTTCACTGGAAGAGAGAAATCCTTATCGCCAAGTCGAAGATCATACAATACACCTTCGTGATCAAACCTTGCGTTTCAGAATGTTCGTTCCCCCCACCCAGCCTAGCCTCCTTTCGCTGTGCATATCACATCAGAACCATCCGCTTTTTTAACCCTGAATATTCGGAAAGGGGCATTCGCTAGTATCGACCCAGCCCATAGAAAGGAGGGGGAAGGGGTGGGAGGAATATGAAGCCAAAATGAGTGAAAGGGGAGTCGGGAAGATACGAAAAAGGGGTGGGTGAGGTACTGGAAAGACCTCAGAGAAGCACGGGAGTATTTTCTTATTGTTTTTTTCTATTCCTTTATTTTCTTATTTAAAAAAGCATCGCGGTCACGTTTGCCCATGATCTAGCCCTTCATCTCCCGCAAATAAAATATTAGGACATAGCAAACGTGACGAAAAACGGAGGACTGTCAACCAGATACCCCAGTGGTATAAAAATCGCCTGGGACATCAAATACCATCTTCAGCCCTCTCTTCCTCCCCGCCCCTCTGCTGGAGAGGTACGGTATAAAATAAAAAAAAAGGAAAAAAAAAAAAAAAATTCAAGCCCATTTTTTAAGACAAAAGTAGAACAAAGAGTTCAAGGGATATCACAGAAGATTAATTAGAGCAAGAAAGAAAAAAGAGAGCCAGCTGCGACTCCCCAATCATTCCCGAACCGCCATATCGTCTCGTCTCATCTCAGCAACAACAACCCGCTTACAACATAACTGCAAGACCCAGCACACCCGCAGCGCCAACCAGGCTGCCCATCATGGCACCGGTTGGCCTGGCAGCTGGTGCGTGGTTCCCAGACTCGTCGGCAGTGGGAGTGGGGGGGGTGGTGGGAGTTGGGGGGCGGGTAGTAGCCAACTCAGCGGCCTTGGAACTGAGGAAGTTCCTGGCGCTGTCTGGCAGGCCGGTGAACCAGGCTGGCGGGCTGCCGTCGTTGACGTCACTGACGAGGGAGCTGAAGTAGCCCTGGATGTTGCCGTCGGTGGGCCTGGGGATGGCGGTTCCGAGGGCTGAAGCGACTTGGGGCGGGATGCTGCCGACGGCGGTTATCATGCTGCCGAACTCGCCCTGGAGCCTGGTGGCGATGGAGTTGCTGTTGTTGAGGGAGATGGTTAGTTTTGTGCGGTCTTCTTTATTCTTTTCCTCGTTTTGTTTGTTGATTTATTTGTTGCAAACGTGGTTATGATGTGTTGTACTGTACATACATCTGATCCTCAAGATTACGCTTCTCAACGGCCTCGTCCGCAACGACGCAGGTGGCAGCCAGGGCCAGGATGGAGAAGAATTTGAATTGCATGGTTATTTAGAAGGTATTGAGTTGTGGTTTGTAGGCGGAACGTAAGACGAAATGCGTAGAATATGGATGGGAAATAAATTGACCTTGAGTGGGAAGACAGACAATATAGCAGAAAACACCAAGAACAAATGGGGGGGTTCGTATATATATATCTATAACGGAGGAGTGGAAAATTAAGTATTTGCACACGCTAGTAATTTAAGTGGTAAACAGATTACCACTCCTTGTGCGGTTTAGGGGTGGTTCCGGGCTCTATTGACACCTATTGTGCCTATGACTCAGCTGGCTGGGCACTATTGCATGCCTATATTTTAGGGTCTAAGCACCGCACATTACAGGTGCGGACCGGCACAATTTGAATCCGGTACTGGAATTTCAATATAAATTTCTAGCGTTTGCACAGCAACCCGATTCGCCCCAGCCCTCGTGAACAGCACGCCCTTGGCTCAGGGGCTTTCATGCCTGTTCTGCAGCGGAGAGTTCAGGCTGCAGACTTGGTTGTATTTTAGCAATCGCGGGATTCGTGGCTGGTGCGGCACACCATCCTCTGATGGCGAGATTGAGTCCTTGAGAAGTGGGGACTCTGTTTCCTATCCGGTGTTGAGCTACCAGCGGCTCAAACATCAACCTGGGGGGTTTCTTCCTACAATTTCTCAGGCTTTCCAGTGGATCGGCTGTGGCTTGGAAATGTGATACATTAACATACTTTGGGCTGGGGCAGCTAATAACAATACAAGGCCTGTTTGAAAATTGAGAGTGGTTCTGTCCAATGTAGTCAAGCTCACATCCGTAAATAAATGTGAGATTCGCGACACTCCGCCGTAGAAGCTGAGCATTTCTAATGTATGATGCTTCTATCTTCTACCGAATAGAAGTTCAACCCTGGGTCACTCCTGTTCGCTCTCTGTCATGTACGCTTCGCTCATGGCGGTTGATCAATCCGAAACCTTGGTGATGAGACGGTCCCGTTGATCCCATTCATCCCTGCGCTCGACCGGTTTTGCCACGCCACTGTGTCCGAGAAACATACCAGCGTATTGCATAGACCCAAAGGACCCGCAATCAGCTACACAAGCCGCAGGGCACAGATGGGGAGGTTGCGGATCGCATTAGCATTAGCATTAGCATTAGCATTAGCATTAGCATTAGCATTAGCATTAACTAACATCTGGAGAACAATATATCAAGTTCCTCTGCACCCCCTCACTACAATTATTCTTACAGGCTCGAGTGTCATCCCCAGCGAACCTAACCGTACATAAAGCTGCAGAACAATACGCTGCCAGTTGCTGATGGATGGGCGCATGAAGCCGTGAATTCGAGAATAGGCTGATATTACTATTTTTGGCACAATCATTCGTTCCAAGTCATCTATTGATCCTCTATTTGTTGGAATCTGGGCGTCTGGTGGGCTCCACGTCCCGCCTCAGCCACACTATCAACGTTTTTGGGAGCTGCATCATGATTCAGATTGAGTCAGATCAATACTTGGAATCTTATGCAACACCTTCTCGCACGAAAATTGCTTATTATGGTTAGAGGCTTTGCATGAGACCTGTATTTATGAATTCGGTGGCTTTTGCCAAGTAGATCCACCCCCCCAAGGTATGCCGTTACTGAATGTAAATAATTATAGAGAGGAGACAACCAGACGTACGGCCCTTGTACAGCTAATTCAGCCGAACCTCGAACCCCGAAAGATTCGAGAACCTTTCCTTTTTAACGCAGAGCAACGTGGCATTCGGGACCGTTTGAGGGGCCAGGAGGGAGGGCTATATAGCATTTGCCATGTTGCGCTAGGGGAAAATGGTCAAACATTACGGCTACTGCGGGTTGCCACAACGAGGCTGTGTATTTTGGTATTTTGACCGGGAGTACGGAGTACACCAATAGTCAATGGGTAACGTATTATTAATATGCGTAGGGCTGCCGAGATTCTGCAACAATTTATACTATACAGGACGCAGCAGAGTCGAGAAGCTCCCCGTAAGGTTCCATACAGATGATGCCAGAAAAGGGAAAAAGAAAAAAGAAGAGAAAAAAGAGAAAAAAAGAAACTGCCGGTCCAACAAATTCCGGCACCCGCCTGCTCGCATCAGAAATAACAATAACTAATAATAATACAATAGGTAAGCAGTCTTTTTTTGCTTCTCCCTAAACGTGGGGATTTAACCTCATAACAAAATGAAAACCTCGGCCTAGAGACATGGACAGAATGAGATATCTTGCCCTCAGGAGCTCATTCATACCGGAACGTTCTTTTCTTCCACCTTTCTCTCTTTCAGTCATTTTATTTTTTGGCGAGAATTTGAGCAGCTTCATGGTTGCATGGATTTCTTCTATAACTATAACTTTGTACCTCACTACGACATGATGAGACTGCAGTGATGACGTTCCAATTATGAGGTGAATTTCATGACATCACAGTGGCTTCGAAGTTTCGATCCCCCCCCTTTTTTTCCCCGTTTAGGCACCCTTTGCCCCAAGAGAAATAGTTAGATTAGTTATGGGGAAACAAATACCTTTTTCAAAGACGCAACAAGTTAAAGTGGTGCTTAGAAGAAGATTGAATTTTTTTGTTGTTGAGAGAAGCTGCTCATATGGACGTCATAACCAGTACCGGAGTTTGCCAACTTCCAACTGAATGAAGCAACATCTTACTTAACCCCAATTGAATTCCTCTTTTTTGGTTTCTATCCCATACTCTAATTGGACCATTAAACAAACCATGGCCGCCTCACCCACAAAATTCAAGCTCAACACCAGCGCCTACATCCCAGCTATAGGCCTGGGGACTTGGCAAGACGAGGATGCGCAGGAGAAAGCTGTGCTGACCGCGCTGGAAGCCGGGTACCGCCATATCGATACAGCAGCCATGTAAGAGCAATCGAATTAACATTTCATCCCGCGGCCCCCTTTTTCAACACCACCCTCCCAAAATAAATATAAGCTAGGTAGCTAGCTGACCAACGTCGTAAACAAAAACCCTATAGCTACGGAACCGAAGCCGCCATCGGCCGTGCATTGAAAAAATGCGGAATTCCCCGGGACCAAATTTTCATCACCTCCAAGCTGTGGAATAACAAACACCACCCAGACGACGTCGACGCCGCTCTTAGCCAGTCACTGAAGGATCTGGGCGTGAGCTATGTGGATCTTTATCTCATGCATTGGCCCGTTGCCTTTGCGCGTGGGGACGAGCTGTTTCCCCAGGATGAACAGGGAAAGCGGAAGATTGCGAAGATTGATTATGTTGATGTATGTGTTTCTCCCCGCATCCCCACCACCTCCTCCTACTGGCCTCTCGGAACCCCAAACCTCCCCATCTACTCCAGGGGAATTCCAAATTTTATACTATTAAGTATACTTACAAACGCACCAGACATACAAAGCAATGGAAAAGCTCCAGCAATCCGGCAAAACCAAGGCGATAGGGATCTCCAACTTCTCCAAGGCGGAGGTCGAGCGACTGCTCGCTAACAGCTCCATTGTGCCCGCAGTTCACCAGATGGAACTGCACCCCTGGCTCCAGCAGGAGGAATTCGTAAAGTTCCACGCTAGCAAGGGAATTCATATTACACAGTATTCGTCACTGGGTAATCAGAATGAGATTTATAATCGGGAGAAGGTGGGGCGGATGCTTGATGATCCTGTTCTGAAGGAGGTGGCGGAGAAAACTGAGAAGACGTGTGCGCAGGTTGCGCTAGGTATGTGTGAATTCGATTTCTTTATATCGACTGCGGTCGTTGCAATATTTTCGCTGACTAGGATATTCTCTATTTTCCCTCTCTCTTTTAGCATGGGGAATTGCGCGCGGCCACTCCGTGCTCGTCAAGTCCAAGACGCCAGAACGCATCCTGCAGAACTTGCAATCTGATTTCAGTCTCAATCCTAAATATGTCAAGCAGATTGACGGCATTGATAAGAAGCTACGCTTTAACGATTCAAGTGAGGGTTTTGGGTATAGCTTCTTCACGGATTTGGAGGGCAAGTAGAAGTGAGATAGCGGCAGGGCAGATTGGTGTGTTTGGGGAGACCATTGATCCGGCAAAAACCATGCCCGGTGTTACTGTCATCGCATGTATAAGTAAATATGTAGTAATTCACTGAAAGCTTTCGTTTTGACATAGCTTGAACACGGCTGCTAGCATCTTTTAGCTGCCTGCTATTCATGCACATGTACATGTATAAGTCCATCGATCGTCAGGGAGGGAAGACTGAAGAACATACTCAACAGACATGTCTTACACCACCTTCGGAGATATCCCTATCAACTCCCTGAGACAATGAGAGCCAATATACTCCACCATGAAACGGATAAAAATCCCTCAAGGAAGTCATCTCGTCAAAAACTTTGGCTTAAAATGCTTCTGATACCTCTCCAAGTCAAATACAGGTCCATCAGATAATTCAGAACTATCAGGATCCCCTGCCCAGACAAATGTCCGACACTCGAACCCGCTCTGCTCCGTTGTAGAAGTGCTACCGTTATCATCGGTAAACTCCGCAACACAGCGGCGCCAGGCGTACGCTTTCGTCTCATATCTCTCCAGCAGTGTGAATTGCGCCGGGTGTTCGACTAGATAGAGCTTGCCGGGAATAGCATCATCATCAGCAGCAGCATCGACACCTTCCCCACCCTCCGTTCTGCTACCATTGGAGCTGGAGGGCTTGGGGATGAGAGTGGGATAGGGACCCCACATCTTCATTTTGTAGTTTCTGAGCTTTGCGGCGCGGAGAGGCGGCGGAGGACTGGGGAGGGCTAGGACATGTTGTAGGACGTCGAGGTCCATGAGGGAGCCGTAGACGAAGAGGTAGGTGGTTTTCCATGGCGGGTCGATTTGAGGAGCAGTCCCGTCTCGAGAGGACTCCATGATGATAAGTGTTAGTAGTAGCTGGAGCTAGAGGATTGTCGGAAGGCATGATTTGTGGTAAGGTTTATTATAAGAGGCCAGAAGGAGATGATGACGAGAAATTTGGTACCGTCTCAAGTTGATCCCAAGGAACTGCGCCCAAGTTGACCCAAATACTCCGTATGTCGCTATAGATCGGATTCCACTAAAAATACATTACTGCCCTAACGTTACCCCTCGAATCTCGAGTTCTGGGCGGCTATTGTAAGCGCCGATCTGCCTAAATATTTATTTACCCTTGCGTGGTGACTATATTCCTGGAGAGCTCTAGATCTGCAGCGCAACACGGACAGACAGTCTCTCTCAGCTTTGTTCTATCTGTAATACCTCTGTCATCTGTTTGAACACTGGCTACTACTGCCTTGCTATTTCTCCGCTCTGAATAAATCTACGATCTCCCATTTTTCAAAATTTAACTATCATATGCCGTGCAATTTTGCAATCCAACTCAAATGGCTCCTCCAAACCTGCTCGCAGCCTTTCACCGTGACTCGCAGTTCTCGAAACGGCTGATAGCTTCATATGTGTTAGACTGGATAATAATACTGTACGTGATCGACTGGGGGAGAATACATTTTCATCCAGCTTCTTTGATTTCTAAACGAATTGCTAACTCGCAGATTGTAGGGTAACCGCAGCCGCAGCTCGCATTTTGAAGCTCGCAGAACCTAACAGAAACCCCTTCTCGCTCACCGACCCAAGCATATCATACCCGTTTACCGTTGATGAAACCGTTAAAGTTACCGTTTTGGTCCTGGTTAGCCTCATCGCGCCCGCAGTTATCATATTTCTCGGGAGCATTTTTTTCGTCCCAGGTCTCACGGCGGCCAAACATGCGCCCAAGGCTGCAGTATGGCGACGCAAATTGTGGGAGTGGAATGTTGGATGGATGGGATTAGGCATCGCGTATGCTGGGACATATGCGTCTACAGAGGCTCTTAAGGTCATATACGGGAAACCTCGACCGGATCTGCTTAGTCGCTGTAATCCGAATTTGTCAGATATTGCAGCGCATGTGGTTGGAGGTCTGGGGGAAAGGCTTGACGGCGCGCCGCTTCTCGTCTCGTATACGATCTGCCAGAATACCTCTAAGAAACTCGCCCGGGATGGCTTTGTGAGCTTTCCCAGCGGACACGCCTCGTGTAAGTGGCACTTGAATCCTTGTGGCGAGAGAGGTGGGAAAACTAGATTATCTGAAGCCCATACTAATACCTCCCACCCCACAGTATCATTCGCAGGCCTCACCTACCTAACCCTCTGGTTTTGCGCAAAGTTCTCCGTTTCCATCCCGTACCTCGCACCAAGACATTATACCCCAGATACCCGACAAACTGCCTTCTCAACATACACCGCCACAGCCAACCACACCCGCAGCACCAGCAAAGACCCAACCCCCTTCGATGAACCCTACCCCAGCACCTCCCATCACAACGAGCCACCCACCTCCCTCACAAACCCCTCACAAACCCCCATCGCCCTCCGAGCCCAATCCGCGGCCCCACCAACCTACCTCCTCGCCCTCGCCGCCGTCCCAATCGTCCCCGCAACCTACATAGCCTCTAGCCGCTGGTTCGACAACCGCCATTTCGGCTTCGATATCCTCTTCGGCAGCCTGCTGGGCATCTTCTTCGCCTGGCTGGGGTTCCGCTGGTACCACTTGCCGCTGAGCGCGGGCGGTGCGGGCTGGGCTTGGGGCGCGCGGAGTCCTGAGCGTGCGTTCTTTGCTGGGGTGGGGGTTGATGGGTATGTGCGGCATGAGTGTCTTGTTGAGGGAAGGGAGGAGGATGGGCGGGCGCCGGGGGCGGCGGCGGCGACGTCGTCTTCCCCTTCGTCGAGGCCGGGAAGTGGGGTGGTGAGGAGGGGAGGAGATAATGTTTGAGAGGAACGTGTGGTTTTTTTCCCATTATGGATTGGGGAGTGATATTTCATCAATAGTTGGCATTTGATATTTATTCATATTTTATGTTGTTTCGGGTATCCAGTGACGTGTGCTTTTCTTGATTTACTATGCTTTTCGGAATTAAGATATCCATATAAGTTAACTTTTAACTTCATGAGCGGGCAAAGCAATTGTACATTTCATATGTTCCATTCTAGAAAAAGGCATTTAATAGTAACGCAGTATAGTACAGGTATTTGTGCTGTGTAATTCAACCTTGCCGGGTTTTCTCCTAATGCCAGCTCATATAACACACAATTGGTTGGGATATTATATGCCGTCCAACCTCTGGTAAGATCCAAATATATGAAAGCTACCTAAACTCCGTGAAAAAACGTAAAGCTCCCAAACCATGCCAAGTTTCACTCAACGCCCATCAAACTTATCGAGCGACACCCGTTCATCTCCAGCCCCCCACCCTCCCTTCATCCCACCTAGCCCTCATTTCCCTCCTATTCTCCAACCTCGCCCCCTCCGTCCTAACCCTCCTAACCCACTCCACAACCTCCCTTTCAGTCGCCTTCTCTTCACTACCCTGCTCACTCTCCAAAAAGCTCTCCTCAACCGCTCGACACACAGCTTCTTGCTCCGCAATGCCCGCCACGAGGCGCTGATATAACGCCTTAGGTGACCATGGCTCCAAGGCAGTGTCAAGCTCGCCCTGCTTCTTGCGCCAGGAGAGTTCGAGGGATTGGTGGTGGAGGAGAAGGGATTCGGTGGAGGCGCGGAGGTTGTGTAGGTGTGTTTCGAGGGAGAGGAGGTGGGTGGCTAGTTTTTTGTTGGCGGTTAGGAGGGTCGTGAGGTGGGCTTGTGTAGCTGCGTAGGAAGAGTGGGTGGTTGCAAGGGCGTGGAGGAGGGTGGGGTTTTGGAGGATGGAGTGGAGGTCCGGGGTTCTGTGTATGTGTATGTGTGTGGCTTGGTTAGTTAAAGGTTTGCGAGGCGGCATGTGTTTGGGATAATCAACGTACGATTTATCTTTCAGAGCATCTGGGAGCCAGCCGTCCTCTACGTTTGGCGGTTGTGGAAGCTTGTCGGCGGAGAATGCATCATCTGGTAAGGAATCGGGTGGGCGTGCTGTAGCTGGATCTCCATGGTGACCTGGTTGGCCCTGGGTAGTAGAAGGCTCTCGAGCTGCGGAGCTGGATAATGGGGGAGGAAAAGGTAGCGGGGAGCCAGCATGGGGCGTTCCCTTGCGGCTGGCTTCATGGCTGGTTGGTTTCGGCGGCGGTGGGGGAGGGGTTTCGGTGTCGAGGGAAGGGTCGGAGCCTGGAGGATTCCCCGGATATGAGGAGGAGAGCGTAGAATACGGTACAGGTGGTAGAGACATGATAAATGTCCGTGGCAGTGGAAGAATGGGATGGTTGTTGGTGAGGAGGGTTGGTTGATTGACGGATTGATTGTTAGTGGTGGTGATGGAAACTCGCTGTGATGTCACCTGATCAAATTTTTGGAAGCTGTGGAAGAAAAGTCAAAAAGAGGTTTCAAGCACTCCAAGCTTCCAAAGTCCGTTGATAAGGCTGTAAACTATGGCTGGCACTGTATACGGGTTCGGTGTATTGTTGTATTTAGCATCTATCATGTACTGTGTGCATGCGCTGGATTTCAAGTGGTATATGTCCAGCATTCGTAAAGCGTGAAATACCGCCCTCTATTCAGTCCGTCGTCTAACGTCCCGCTCCTGTGTTTCTGCATTCACCCCTCTAATTGCATCCGTCACTAATTGACGAAGTTCCCGCTGTCCTTCTTCAGTGTGAATGTTTTCCTTTGCAGCAAGCTCCTCAATCCTCCTCTTGAATTCCGGGTCCACCACCTCATCTCCGATTGCAGCTGGGTCAGGCATGCTTCCAACATTTACCGTCACGTTAGGCGGAATCGTTGTAGATGAATTCAGTAGTTGGTCCTGGCCGTCTGTAGTCTGGCTGCCCCGTAGGTATTCGATCAATTGTGGGTATTCCCCATCACTGGCAATTGACTCCTCAGCCTTCAGTCCAAGGTGATTCTTGTGCTCCCTATCCACACCAAGTTCCTCGATCAAGCAGCGGGCCACATCGACGGACTCCGTGACAAAAAGACAGGTTTCTCCATCCTCGTCGACTAGGTTTACGTTTACCTGGAGTTCTTGGACGAGCGCGCGGAGCAGGTCGACATGGCCGTACGATGCCGCGGCGTGCAGGAGGGAATACCCAGTGCCGTCCTGGGACGAAGCTAAGGCGGGGTTGGACCGAAGGAGCGGGAGGAGGGAGGGCGAATTGTCTGCTGCAAGCGTGTAGATATTGGGCTGAGCGGAGGACATAATGAGATGCGGATATCTCCTTCTACTAGAAAATAATATACAAATCACAGGGCTGTGAATAATGAGAACTGGTTAAACTGAACTAATAATGGTTTTGGGTTGAGCACCACCGCCAAAAAAAAAAAAAAAAAAAAAAAAAAGCCGGATTTAGTTAGCAGCTGCCAGAGCTCCATCAATTAAGAACCTCGAAACTTCGGATTTAGCATCATCAGCTCAGGAAATAGGCAGCCAACTACAACTCATTCGCTTGCATTATCTGCCTAGGAATTTCTAGTAAACTGATTCATAGATCTTTTCCATCAACTCGAGTGGCAAGATTGCAGAACCCTTTGCTGTTGTACTAGAATTGCCCCGCTTCGCCTCTTTAACCTCCCATTTCCCCCCTCCCAACAGCTTGATCCTTTTCCCGTTTGAATATTCATTTCGCAGATCGGAATCATGGTTCAACAAGACGTTAATGAGGTCACCCAGCTTGTTCACACGTTAGAGGCCGCGAGCGGAAAGAAAAAGCAACCAGGAAAGAAGACCTTCTCCTGCAAGAAGAGCACCTTTCCAGTCGCGGGGTCAGATATCAACGTGGACTCATGGAGGTTCCAGGATTGGGATTACAAACGGGATGACATGCCAACCTATGCTCGCGGTCTCTTTACGACCAAGAACAGGAACAATCAGTATGAAATCGCCGTTCGAGGATACGACAAGTTTTTCAACGTGGAGGAAGTTACCTCGACACGGTGGAGAAATATTGAGCGCAATACTCGAGGGCCATATGAGTTAAGCGTTAAAGAAAATGGCTGCATTATTTTCATATCTGGCTTGGAGGATGGCACTCTGCTGGTATGCAGCAAACACTCAACAGGCGCTAGAGCCGATGTCAACCTCAGCCACGCTGTTGCTGGTGAAAACTGGGTGAAGCGGCATGTAGCCTCCGTTGGTAAGACGATGGAGGATTTGGCCAAGGCACTGAGAGGCAGTAATCTAACTGCTGTTGGGGAGCTTTGTGACGACAGCTTTGAGGAGCATGTTCTCCCCTATGATGAGGAGGCGTCTGGCATCTACCTCCACGGCCTCAACTACAATGTCTCCGAATTCGCTACCCTGCCTAGCCGTGATGTTCACAGATTTGCTGATGAATGGGGATTTAAGAAGGCGAAGTACCTCGAGAAAGATTCCGTTTCCGAAGTGAAGACTTTCTTAGATAAATGCGCAGAGACTGGATCGTGGGATGGTAGGGACACCGAAGGTTTTGTTGTCCGGTGTCAAATAAGTGAAGGGGGTGTCAGTCCATACAGAGACTGGTTCTTCAAGTACAAGTTTGAAGAACCATACCTCATGTACAGGCAGTGGCGCGAAGCCACCAAGGCAGTGATTGGAGGAAGGCAACCAAAAATCAAGAAGCATGTGGCTATCACAGAAGAATATCTTGATTACGCAAAGAGGCAGCTTGCCAAGGATCCTATGCTTGCGAAGCTCTACAACCAAAACCACGGCATTATCGCAATGAGAGAGGGCTTCTTGAAAGAGAGAGGGCTGAAGGGTTCAGAGATCATTGCCATGGAAATAGCCCAAGGAGATGCGACTTCGCCTCTTGCTAACGTGACACAAGATATCGTCTTAGTACCAGTCGCCTCAATTGGATGTGGTAAAACCACTCTAGCCCTCGCCCTTGTGAAGTTATTTGGCTGGGGACATATCCAGAATGATAATATTCAGGGACAGAAGAACCGCCCAAAAAGATTTGCACAAGAGGTAACCAGTTCGCTTGCAACGCATAAAGTCGTCATTGCAGATCGCAACAATCACCAAAGACGGGAAAGGAACCAGATCATTGACGATGTTCAACGAGCCATACCTAAGGCTAAATTTGTTGCCCTCCACTATGTCCATGAGCCCAAACAAATATTGCTGAATGATATTAGAAAAGTTACGCAGGCAAGAGTACTAGAACGAGGGGATAACCACCAGACAATCCAGGCCAGTAGCAAAGACAGAGACTCGGTCATTTCTATTATGGAAGGCTTTTTGAGTCGGTTTGAAGCCATCGACACAGACCGCGACCCTGACGACGGGTTTGATGAAGTGATAGATCTGGATGTAACCGCCTCCTCCCGTGAAAACCTGGAGAAGGTCATCTCAGCTATATACTCCTCATTTCCAAAGCTCATGGACGGCAAACTGCCAACCTCATCTGACCTAGACAACGCCATCGATGAAGCCATGAAAAACTACAAAGTCGACACAAAACACGACCTCAGATTCTCGAACACCAACAGGTTCTCGAAACCAGCACCACGAGAATCCCCTGACCAGCTCGTCAGACGCATAGATTACTTTAACATCTCCTTCAATACCAGCCAAATAACCACCCTACTCTCCTCCCTCTTCCCGCCTTCAACACCACCCGAAAAAATGAAACTATACAACCACCTTAAAAACTCCCGTCGCATCCAACCTTCATTCCACGTGACCCTAATCCACCGCGCCTCCCAACCAACCGACCCAGACATCTGGACCTACTACGCAAACCTCTACAAAGCCGCCATCCAAAAACAACAACCCAACCCGACAAACGGCTACGTCCTCGAAACCCCAACCCTAGGCTCCACCCGCGTCCGCGTCGAGCGGCTAGTTTGGGACGACAGAATCATGGCATTTGTCGCGCGCATTGTACCGCGGGATGGGGACTCGTGGCCGTGCGCGAATGAGATTCCGCATATCACGATCGGCACGGCTACGCCCGAGGTGAAGCCGAAGGAGAGCAATGACTTGTTGAAGCGTTGGTTAGAGGTTGGAGCTGGAGGCGAGACGGGGATTTGGGAGGCTGAGGTGTCTTGTGTCACGGTACTGGAGGGGAGTGTTGGGGAGGTGTTGAGGCGGTAGTAGAGAGCCAGGGAGATAGAACGGGGGGGGAAGGGAAAGAGGGGGAAGCGGTACGGCGAATTACTCTTTTACTAGAGGCTAAACGGAGAAACGTTGTGTGTGATTTTCTTTTTATAAATAGGCACTTTATTCCTTATGATATACGTGCTTTCCCCCTTACACAACTTATCTCATCGAAAGGTGAGGATATATTGATTCCCTGCAATTCAAGCCTTGTTTATCTGGTAGGCGAAATTTAAATGGGCGAGTAGAATGGCTGGAATGGGTCGTGCTGCTAACGAGTATGATATTTTTACTTCACTTTTCATCTGTGTTAAGTCTTGCGACTCCATGATATGAAAATACGGGATTGGTATGATTACAAGGGGGGATAGAATCTGAATTTTCGGGAAATCACTGAACGAGCGGATTATTCCACCACAATCCCGTTATTCAGGTGAAATGGCGATATTGGAGTGGAGGAAATATGAATTTAAACTTACACATACCCCAGTGGAATCAACAGGTTTCGCCTTAAAATACCAAGATATATGATTGGGACAGTCACGATTTTTTATGTATTGGTGCTGTATGTATGTGTGTATGTGCCTGTCTATCAAAGGTATCGCGAATTTACCAAATCCATTATGGCAAAGGGGGAACATGAGGATGTCGGAGCAAAAAGGAGAAAAGGAGAAAAAGAGAAAAAGAAAAGGAAATCCCCATCCAAAATTGTAGTATGGGAGCAGCGTTTACCCCATTCCAACCGTTTAACAGAAAACAATACTGGAAAGGAAATGAGGAAGATAAATGGATGGCAAATGAGCAATAACAGGGGTATATAGAAACTATAGGATGGTTTAGTAAACGTAGCCTTTGCAAGAAGAGCATGTCAGCTCGAAGGGAAAAATTCGAAAGTAGTATTACATTTGCATTCATTACGCTGCCCCTCGCTTTCACATTCTCTCCCTCTTCCCTCTATTTCCTCAATCACTCATCCAAGCCGCAACCCTACCTCCCCCAACTCGCGTTGCTAGTCTCAAGCCCGTGCTGCCCATGGGGAAATAACTCACGAGATACCAAACGAGCGCGACGAGTTGAAAAATGCTGGATATCAAGGTGAGAAGTGTGGAGTGGAGCTGCGCGGGGGCGAGATTGAAACTCAAAAGGTTAGCAGATGACTCGTCGTGGATATGGATTTAGATTGGTACGGATAGGGCGGAACGGCCCATGCCCTTTAGGATTTGTATGATAATGCAAGATTAGGGAGGAAGGGAAAGTGAGAGGGGTCAAGGGGAATTGGGAAGGGGGGAAGGGGGGAAGGGGACCAGGAGACGGAATATACGGATTTGGGCGCCAATCACTTCCGCCTCCCGACGGCACTGTTTTTGCCACGAAATGCATGAGGAATAAATGAAATGCAAGTAGAGCTGAGAATGTAACAGTTGGGTCACCCAAAAGAGAGTAGCAGGTGGGACAGAAGAGCAGGCTAAGGAAATTTAGAAGATGCGAATTTCTGAAAAGAAGAGCAATGGATAAATCGCAAAACGGGAAAACTGTGTGAAGACTTTCCCAATGGGGAAATATGAATGAAAATCCGGAATATGCAGACTAAAAAAGTGGACTTACTCCGATAGCAAAGTAGAGAGTCAAGCCGATCGATGCGAAGTATGCGCCGGTGAACGGAAGGCGAGGCCCGGATGCTAAATGCTTGACATATGCCACAGGTCCCATGAGAACAGCCCAGGAGGCGAGAAAGAGGACGGATCCCACAGACCACCTTAAAAAAGCAAAAGTGTTAGCTATAACCTTAGATATGAGACATCTAAAACCGCAACCGGATGTATGATAGCTCTAACACGCCCAAGGGAAAGTGGAGCATCTCGGAGACCGGCCCGGATTGAATAGTAGATGACAAGGTACGCCAGGAATGACATGGAGTGAGAGCAGGGTCAACAAGCTGATGCTGGTAATCGCATAGTGGTTGTTCAAGAACTGAGGGAATGCAGCCCTTTCGTAAACATATTACTTTGTGTGGGTGGGCAAAACTCGGCCGCATACGTCATTGCTGAAAGATTTCAAGGCAGCTTTTAGGGAAAAGGGGGGGTGCTTCTGAAATAAAAATTAAACTTACAGAACTGCAAACTTCCGTGCCCTGAACATTAGAGGGAATAATATGAGCCCTATGCATATACTAAAACAGACAAGAGCACCAATATTACACCCAGCAAATATCAGCATTCGGTCCCATCGAGTCACTGCGTAGCAAAAGCAGAGATGTTAGCATCATTCGAAAACCGCGAATAGGAAGCCGAGAGCAATGCATCGTTTGTGAATTTGAGGTTGAGAGGGTAACTCCACGGTGGAACATGCATGTGAGTCTGTGCGGACGCAGGAACTGAGGTGTGTCACTTGTACGCTGACCATAGAGATGGCATGAAATAGTCAAGACATCTACATCAGGAAGGTGTGTCATGAGACTCACATGAAAACCATGTTTCGTCCTCTTCTCGCCTTGTTGGGGCCGGTAAGGGTGCAGCTGAATCGTCTTGCGCAGGAAGCTGAACATAACCCCGATTCGCAAAAGGGTTAAGTGATTGAAGGTTCGAGAATACAGAGTTCGAGGCTGTGCGATTTGTAGATGCGGTATCCGGTTCCCTCCGTGCCCATCCCATGGAATTCATGGAGTCACGAAACGAGGCGGACGCCATCTTTTTCGATAACCGTTGGCGTGGTTTTCAACGTTGATTTGCTGTTTTGCACGGTTTCCGTACTTAAGCTTCTTATTTTCCGACTTCGTTCAAACAGAAACGCCCGACGTCATTCAATAAAACGGGTAGGTATCGGCTCGCTTCGTCCCGAGGGATCTGCATTCAAATCCAGACCGTAGCTAATACGTACTCCCTCCCAGAGAGCCAAAATATGTAAGTCAATATCTCTCGCAGATAATATGCAGCTAAAATGAAAGTGTGGTGTGGGGGTAGCTGTTGGTCAGATGGTTATTATTATATTCATTGGACAAGCTATAGAAGTACGTGGTGCTTAGGGCGGTGTGGGGGTTTTTGGGGGGGGGAGGGGTAGTGTTGCCGAGATCCCAGAAGCGCTCCATTCCATTTTCATTAGGCCACGGTAAACTTACCCCGTGTCTGGTGCTGCCCCGGTATAATAATTAATAATGTATACTAGCAAGGAGAAGCTGATGATATAGAAAGCTGGCGTAGTGGTAGTGATCAGTAGTATCTCGAGATGGAGGGTTGGCGGACAAAGACACGAAGTGGCCGTGATAATATCTAAAGGGTCTAGTCCGAAGGTGTGAATATCTAAACCATCGTGAGTTAGCTTGGGGTCAGCATCAACTGAAGATTAGTATCAGATGATCATTTTAAGGCTGGTTTTGCTCTTAGCAGAGGGTCGTGAGAAACTTGGATGGGACGCACAAACCTGGTGAGTCGGTGCGCAGGGAGCTACCTGAGTGGAATCTATGAGGAAGAAATCCCAAGGGAACCCTACAGGATTGACACAGGATCCTCGCTAGGCGGTATCCGAAGAATGGAGCTGTTCGAGCCGCTTGAAGACCGCTTGCAGGAGTGATGATGCTGTTTGGAACGGAGGTTTGGTTTGGCGCAAGATGCGGCTCAGTGGGCATGGTGGTGGCTTAGTCACCTCGTAACTAACTTCATGCTTCGGTGTTCCAGCCACAACCAGCTAAAAAAAAAAAAAAAAAAAAAAAGCAAATCATCTTCCCCAGATGTCAACAAAGCTAGCAAGCAAGCAGCAACGACATTGTGGTGGAGAAGCAACGGGCAGCCCCACTGTTTAAGAACTGCTACATAAATCGGCGACGAGCCGCTCCCCGTTTACCAACATCCAGGGATGGGTTATTTAGCGCCCTTTTGACTTCATCCCGAGCAGCGATATCTACCGCTTCTCCTTGGAGCACAAAAAAAGGCTACGCAGAGCTTCTGATTCGCCCTTGGTGATCGAAGGTCTCTGGTTCCTACACCTTCTATCCCTCACACCTTTGAAGGGGAAGGAGGGGGGGGGGTTTCCTGTTTTTCTCTAATTGCCCGTTCTCCTCCTTTGATGCCAGATCGAATCATGGATATGCGTGTCCAACCTATGGGCAAGGTTTTTTTTTTTTTTTGGTCGTTGCAGTCATGGTGGCTTGCTTACATGGAGATTTTATCTCTGGCCAGACCCTAGTATTTGAGAAGAGGAAACATGCCGTATTTCCGCAAGAAACTTCGCCTGTACCGTTGCCTCAAAATATGGGGTTGAATGTTTTGAGGAACGGGACGATTGGTAGTCGATATCTGCGGAGTCGTGGACTAGCTCACAACAACTAGACAGGATCTATCAGTCTCCATTGTCAAATGTCAACTGAGACACTTGGAGGGGCATTGAGCCAATCGATAAGCCTACCAAAAATGACCATGGGGAGGAATTTGCCACATTGTCCTAGACGTCCAGTCCTACCACATCTGAGTTGACACACAGGGCGTTGATCGTTGCTAAAGGGTCCCCGTTGTCCTAGTCCCTGACATGAGAAACTCAGACAAGTAGCGCTACGCCATGATTGGAAAAGTCGGCATCCCGTCCGATAATGGGGACTTTGTGCGACATGAAAACAAGGATATTCTCCTCGGCCTGCTGCCAAAACGGAGCGTTATTTATCATCATAGCGAGCGCGTGCAATTTTGCGCAAGAAATGAAAAAAGGCGAGACGCACCCCCGCCCCTGAAGAAGGGTGACATGACGACTTTTTTTTTTTTTTTTTTTTTTTTTTTTTTTTTTTTTTTTTTTTTTTTTTTTTTTTCAACTTGGAGCCCAGCATGAAAAAAGGATCAGTCCATTTGGAATCGAAGAAACCATGATTTCGCATTAAGAAACTAACACACTTCTCCCCACATCCCAACTGTCTCCGTTTTAAGTTGCCGCACGGGAACCCCGTATTACCTCCCGCCGAAGTCCAAGCTTGCGGGCGAACAAGAAGGAACCGTAGGAATATTCCGTCTGGGATAAACCTAGTTTAGCCTCTGCCAAACTACAATTCCTGGAATAAACAATAAATGGAAAGCACTAATGCGTTTTTTCTTCTTCGTATGAAGAAAGCTCCCATTTGGCATCGGGGATTTTTACAAGAGCCCCAGCTAAGAACTCCACCATCCCTTTGCATCCGGGATACGAGATGCCCTCCACACCTCGTTCCGGATGTACCGCTTCTGGGAACCGCTATTTTAAATTGCCGGGGCCGGGTGACTATCACCACTGCGCGTCAAAACGTGAAAAGCCCTAGAAAACCTTGGAAGAGAGCTCCAGGATCACCCATCTTTCCCACCCTTGTGAAGGTATTTTCTAGAACGCGAACTAATCCCAGAAAGCTATCAGCTCACCGAAAGCGACCTCCCACCTCCCCCAAGTGCAGCCTTTTGATCTAGCTATGCAGTTCCATGTCGCAGATCACTTTAAAGCACATCTAGAAGATGCAAACTATCAAAATATAAACTGGCATCGAAAAGGGCAAATAGGACATAGCTACGTAGTTTTTCGCTATATGATAGTGAGAGATTTTGATATACATACATATAACTATATACCAATCAGATTATGCTTATACAGTAAACTTAAACCTACACCCCTTTGCGAAGGAAACAATAAGACTCAGACTCCCATTAGTCGCCGAAGAATCTTCCTATATTTTTTGTCATTACTGGCACACACACACGCACGCACGCACGCACGTACGCACGCACAGCCTACTCGGTGGTGTGAATCAGATCCCCTCTCCTGTCACCAATCAACAGCACTATCACAAGCCAGCCGGTTGCTATGTTTCTGCCGGGGTCGCGTTTTCTACACCCAAGCCAGTAAGTGGTATATATGCAACGAAAGAAGGTATGGGATGGGCGAACAAAGATTGCTCAAACTACTTACGTTCTCTTTCTAGTTGTCTCTCCAAGTTATTTAATTATTCCCTCCAGCCTTTCCCTCATCCGCCCCCCTTTTATTTTATATCCTGAAATAATTAATGATAACGGGGGAAAAGAAAACTAGTCACATTACCCTCGACCTAGGACGCGCGCGACAGCTGACGACAAATGGTGAAGATGATGCTCCTTTTCTTGCTGCCTGCCTTGTCCATGGGGCTTTGATTCATTTACTGCTGGCTGCCCACCACCACCACCCATCCCATCGCATTTTATTATTTAATAATAATAGTAAAATTCTTATTATTACTGTTGTGTCCACCGCCACACCCTTTTCTTACCTCCCCCCTTAACCCCCCCTCCTATCTGGAGAATCTGCCACCCTCTCCCGTTCGGCGCAGCCACAGTTATGGCTACTACATCAAACCCTGATTTTTCCCTCTTGGTAGGTATGGAAATCAAGAGTGAGAGGAGAAGGTGTGAGCAGGGAGTGTGCGCGGTATGCGTCAGGGAGCGTAATAAGTGTGTCTGTATATATATCCCGTAGTTGCATACCTATCTGAACCATGCCGAATTAGCCCTACAGGACAAATGTATTAATTATATCCTGTGTATACACATCGAGTGCAAAAATCAAAAATCAAAAATCAAAAATCAAGCTAGTTCCAGAAACCACAAACCTCGTGGATATCCATTGGGGATTGTAAAATGATCGACGCCCTGCATGACCAGCGCCGTCATGTATCAAATGAGAGCTGCAGGATGATGGATGGGCGCGATCTTTTCTTTCGCTGGAGTCATAAATGTGTTTGGCTTCCCTTTCTTCCCCGCTGGCCCTCCCCCCCCAAAATCTGTTGCATGATATGATGATATTCCTTTCGGTCTGTCTCCCGGTTTCGTTTAATGAGAAGAAGAGGGAAAATAAAATAAAAAAATACACCTGTTGTGATTCGAATCCCGTTTCTCTGATTCGGCAGGGAATCTCACTTGGTTATATACTCCCGCTTGGATCCGCTTAACTATCTATCTATCGCTCTCGCGACCCCATCCCATCCCTGTCTGCCTGCTCCGTCTCAAACTGCATTTTATATACCCTTATCGTTTAACTATCTGTGGTTCTACCATCCTTCTCGTCGCATCACTCACTATTCGCCCAGCCCGGCGTTTAAAGGGGCTTCCTACTTCCCATTCTCTACCGCATCCTAGCCGCCCAAACCATCCCAATAGGATCTTGCCATATTTATTTACTTCCTCGTCATCTCAAGGGAGAAAAAAAAACCACCTTCCAACCAACCAGCGACAGCGACTTATCCATTTGCTATTGGCGATTGCGCGATCCAACCCACATCGAAGACGTACATACTGTGTACATTCCTCAGGCAGCAGGCTGTTTGCTTTAACTGCCGCCCCTCGCCCACCCCACGGCGCAGAAAGGACGGAACGTTTGGCTCCTTTGTCTGTGATATTCCGCATTTTTCGCATCGTATCGCATCATATTGTATCGCACCGCATCGCACGGAGGCAAACATCCAAGCTAGCTAGCCAGCTGCATTGTTTTATTCCTGGTGGTACGGTACAATCCTGAGGAAGTGACGCAAACCCCGCAGTGGTTTTCCTTGTGTTTTCCATGATTTAGCTCCTGAATTCAGCAGTTGAGCTAGATATCTAAATATATGAGTTGGTAAGTACACTTCTTCCATTTTGATTTTTCAAGAGATGTAGCAAGAGTGTCTTTTTTTTTATTTATTTTTATTTATTTTTTATTTCTCTTTCGTTTTAATTTCCCACATCATTACCATTCTGTTCAGTTGGAGCCCTCGCTCGTTTTTGTAATTCCTGTTTTCCGTTTACTTCTCGTTTTGTTGTTCCTCGTTCATCCCGACTGTCTGAGTCCCCGCGTATGAAAGCCACTTTTTTTTTTTTTTTTTGCCCCGCGCGAGATCCGATTTCTCCGCTCGAAGGCTTGGGGGCTGCGGTTTAACAGGACGGAGGCCCGTCCTCGCTTCGCTGATTTTCTTTAGCGGCAGCCACAGCCAGCAGCCCAACCAAGTTGGTCAACGAGAGGAGGAGCCTCTCTTGGCGATATGTGCAGATGAAGCAAAGCCTGAATTGTGCATCTTCTGCTTGGGCGCTGTTCTGCCAATCGGCCCCACCCCCTTTTCTATAGTTACTCTCCTCCATTTGCACAGAACTTCTTCCCTGGTCAAGTTTCAGAGGCAGGTAGAAGCTGGCCAAGTGGACGACGGGTGATTGATGAGGCGGGGCCGGGTTGTAATGAAACAGCTCGCATGGGCCTGTCCTTCTCCTTTTCGACTTCTAATATTTTGTTCTTTCGTTGTTGTTTTGAGCCTTTGACCTTTGAAATCTAGAAATATTGGGTGGTGTTTGTTGTTGGCGGGGGAGGAGGAGAAGGTGGCTAGAAAGATCCCGTACCAGCGGGAACAACGGGCGTATGGTACTGTACATTACATTACTGTACCGTCCCCGTATATTCATACTGCCCCCTCCCAATAAGCTGCCAACACGGTAATTTATTTGTCGTATTTTTGGTTTTGCCCGTCTTTTTATTTTCCGCTACCTTCCACCGCCTGTCCGGTCCCAATTCCACTCTGTCAGCACATCATCGTCCATCTTCTATTGCCTCATCGCAGCAGCATCACATCACAGCATCACAGCATCCGTATATATTTCGTCCCCAGCGCTCCGTTTTCCCCCACCCTTGCGGTATTCTCTCCTTCTACTGCTTATATGCAATAGCTTTTTTCTGTCCATCCCAACCCCTATCTCCGCTTCTCCCCACTTGCTACCTCTCTTACCGCCTCTCTTTCTGCCCCCGTCTGTCAAAGCTTCTACTTGATTTTTTACGCTGTGACTCCTCCGCCGCCCCATGTCTTACATCGTTGATCAGCCATGACAACTCCCAGCCAACTCCACACCCATACCTGACTCTGATATAGTCTACAGCCTTCCGTTATCTTGACCTTTCACTTACTCTGTGCAGTTCCAGCAATTGCCTAACGCAACTAACTCCCTCTCCTCCCGCTCTTCTTACACTCTCTCCCCCCCTTTCAACCTCGGCAGCCTCGTTCCTATCCACCTCGAGTTTTCCCTTCCGCCCGCCCAGTACCAAGACGCGGAATCATACCATTTAAACCCCGTCTCAGTCTCTAACATCGTTTACATACAAATATATATTTGGTTGTGTTCTGTAACGACAGGGCTCGTTGTGAAACGGTATGTACCTTGCATATCATGAATATACAGCTACGTATTAGCTGGAGGAAATGTTGGTTGAAAACCAATTCCCTCCATAGCCACGCTATCCCTTCCCCATATGGTTTGATTCTACATCTCGATGTTGAACATGCACGCTGACAGGGCTGTTGGATGTCTGTAGCACCTTCGACCTATTTTCAGGTACACTCCGCCCGAAGATTGTGCGTAGTCCCTCACTGCTGGTTCGCTTTTCCTTTTCCGTTCGCTGGTTTCGAAGACCAGCACCCACAGTGTTTGGTCTTAGCGACGAGGTTCTTCGTATACGTCTACGATAGGCATGGCTGAAACGACATTTATTAAAAACGAACCCGAAGATCAGGGTAGTAACCCACATCAATTTTTGATGTCGGGCTCCGCATTTGGGATGCCTAGTCCCGGCTTCGGATCTAATTTCGGAAACTCGGCGGCTAATGATGGCATCGATCCTTCCGAACTCACAATGCAGAATGGAGGTTTCTTGTCTTATCCGTTCAACTCCCAGCAAAACTTGTCATCCAGTTTCAACCTCGGGAACTCCAGCATTGACACCGCAGAACTCTTGGATCTGGACCTCAATGTTGGGCGGGATAACAGCCTAAGCTTTGTCCAGGATCTGCAACGTCAACCCACTGGTATCTCCATGAGCCATCAGGGTCAAATGACGCATGTCTACTCCAATACCCCTGATGGAGCGCCAATTCAAAGCCCCTTTATCCGTGGCAACTTCAACTATGAGCAGTTCCGCGTGAACCAAGGACACCAGGCCACGTCACCCCATATGAATGTCAATACTCATTTCGACCAACACTATGCTAATGGACGGCTAGGTTTCCACGGCGCTGACCGGAACTCTATTGATGCACGGAGCCCAATGACCCCAAAAACGCCTGCGATTGCAGGACTTAATATTGGAACACCGGACTCGGGTAGTTTCCCCTCACAACCAATGCGGGCGGTCAGTTTACAGAGTCGCCACCAGAAAACGTTGTCGAATCAATGGGATGGCACCCCCGGTAGCGCACAGTCATTGATCGATTCTCCCATTTCATCCCCAGGACACCCGTCTCATCATACGGGAATCTCTGAAATATTGAAGTCCGGAAAGCATGCTTCATTACCCACCAAGGTTGACTTAGTTCATGGACATCATCACTCTACTAGCGCACAGAGTTTGGAATCACAGGAGGCCAAGAGACGGCGTCGACGTGCGTCGCATAACATGGTGGAACGTCGGAGACGCGATAATATCAATGAACGAATTCAGGACCTTTCTCACCTCGTCCCCCACCATCGCCTGGAGGATGACAAGATTCGGAAACAGCTTGTCAATAACTCGGCACTCGCTAATTCTACCACTGGATCGGGTTTGAGCCCTACAAATGCTGCCACATCCCTGCTTGCTGGAGGAAGCGGACGTCGAGCCGCGGCTGGAAACATCACCATGGGCTTGCCGATTGAAGAAAAGGAGAAAGGCCCCAACAAAGGCGATATTTTGAATGGTGCCGTTGGTTGGACGAGGGATCTAATGTGGGCTATGCATGTCAAGCTTCAACAGGAAGATGAGCTGGCGGAGTTGATTACCTCCCTTGGTGGAACTTGGCCATTCGAGCAAACCGAAGAGGAGAAGCGCATGCGCACTGAACTTATTGATGCCATGGAGAAGAATGACCCGAATACCTTCTCGTACAGTCGAGCACCCGGAAGTGGGCTCCGTGTTCCCAAACATACCAACATTGCTGGAGAGGCTTTACAGCCCGATATCTTGAGCCCACAGAGCCTCAGCCCGGCCTTTCACAGTGGCGGGAGCGGAACCAACAGTGGTGGAGCTCAGCCGCAATACTGGAATACATCTGGCCATGCTGGGATGAGCTTCAAAGAGGAAGACGAATATTCTATGGAGATGAATTAGGATCTAGTCACACAGCTTTAACATTTCCTCTTTGATTCGAATATTCACGGTCTCGATAGGTTGCATGGCTGGCGTTGGTCCATGAGGTGGCAGAGTCTGGTTTAGGGGGCGTTTTGTGTCCGACCGGACCTTTTTTAACAGCATTTGACCCGATTTCTTTCTCAACATCTGTTGCATTTCAATTTGACTGGTTTTGTGTTTGTCGTTGATATTTTCTCATCTATTTACGTTTGATATCTTGCATATTTACTCTTATTGCGTACATTTGTTTTGTTCCTTTACTTGCTCCTCCGTGATTTATTTTTTACCCCCTATTCTTTCTTGTTGTATCTCTATTTAATACTGGAAGGAGACATCGTCGATTTCCTACTTATCCTATTCACCTAACTATGTTTCTCGCCCCTCCGCTCCGCTCTCGCAACGCATCCCTTTTGTTTATCAATTCCGCAATGCGAAGCCAGACAGTTCATATTCACTGTGATTTTTATTCTTGTTAGTTCCCTCTGATTTCTTCCACCCCCTTTTTTGTTCGGCCCATGTGTTTAGCTTATGCGGTGGAATTTTATTCCAACATCGATACCCTCCCCCTTTTTTTTCTTTTTCCTTTTCGCCCTTTCCTTGTCGATGCCCTTGAAACGTCACGTTTATATAATCTATTTCCCCCTATTTTTATGTTTTAAATACATTGCTTTTTTAACCTTGCATATTTCTTTGATAATATATTATTCTGTTATATATCCTTCTGCGAATTCATTTCCCTTTTTCGCGTATTCTATTCTGGCGGAGAGGAATTTCCCAGAGAGCAGCGGGGCGCGGGTCGTTGTATTTCCATGGCCCAGTTGCATTTTTCCATAGTTTTCATATCTTTTCATTTTCATTTTCATTTTTTTTTTCTTCCCTGGGGGGTTTGCGTGGTTCAACCGTTGTTCGCTATGGCGGTTTATTTTATTTGATATTTTATTCGATATTATAGCGTACAGTACATTTTACCATGCATTATTTTATTTTATTTTTTATAGTCCCGTTCTTTTTGACATCTTAACCTTGCCTATTTGACATAACATATTTATTTACATACATTATCAGAGTACTTAATATATATATTTTTAGCCTAACTTATTTATATCCGCTTCATAATCACAACAATCTCCACTTTCTATGAAACCGAACAGATACACTTGAGAAAATAAGTCACTCTCATCCGGCAACGGACAGGCACCCCTTAATAGCCAAAAGTAGCTGAAGATGATGGAGCTACGTCATAATATGTCAATATTTTTATTGCTGGCAATCCGTACTGCGTACCTACCGTACTCTTTAGCCTATGAATGCGCCCGCCCTACCATGTAAGAAGATCCCAGATCCCAGATCTCCAGATCCCAGATCTCTGATCCCAGATCTCCTGATACCCGAGCCGACCGAACCGCGCCCGAGAACTAATGATGATGGGCCACCACCCCTAATAAGGCCACTGGCGATTGTTTTTACGGCGGGTAGGTGTTTTGGTGCGTGTTGTTTACGCTATTTGTTTTTGTATATTTACTGTATAGGGGCGGTTTTTACATATATGACCTGTTTATCGAATACTGTGTTCGTCTCCCGTTGCGTTGGCTTTTCATTTTGCTGAGCTCAAGGGATCTATCTATCTTACTTTCTTGCCTTGTGTTGTATTTTTATTTAGGGTGGTTTTGATTTCTTCTGTTTTCTTCTCTTCTGATTTTTTGTTTTATGAACCCACTTTGTGTGAATTTCCATCTTCTGTATCCCCTGGTTGACCGGTACGAAGGTATAAAGCCCTGGAAAGGGTTTTTGAAGTCTGAAGAGTCATCTATGTATGAACCTGTGGAAGTCGTGTATTTCAGCCGGCGAAAGATGATGCGGAGATATAACTATATATGTTCAAGAACTTCTAGAATTTTTTTGTTAAATTGTACGTTACTACATTGCCAATCCACTAGCCACTAGACTAAATATATATATAATATATATATATCTACTGCGTACACAGAATCACCATTCTCTTCCACGTAGTGCAGTACTAGTGTCACTCTGACATATGATAGTTAATTGTTTCATGCTTAATGTGCATGTAGAGATGCTGTACTATTCACTCGCTGCCGCAAGGTAGAGCTATAGATAACCTTTATTAAACTTTTTGTTTATATCACCGTACTGTACGGTGTCATTGCGATTGAGTTCAGAGCGCGTTTGGCGTGGGTAAACTTGAGTTCTTCGTTCGTACCTGTTCATTGAATGAACCGTTCTATCTAACTATGTAATGTAGTGTAGTTTTAACGATCTCAAACCTCGTTGTATAGTAGATCCGCCTGTTGTTCCCTCGAAAAAATGAGGGTATCTAAATATCTAACTTAAAACTAGACAGGCAGGGGGAAATAGAAACATTGGCCCATAAGTTACAACAGACAAATATATCAACTACTCGTGCCGCTGCTTACTCACTCACCTCTAGTGAGTGCACCACATCAAAACAATAAAAACACTGAAATGATAAAAATCAAGAATCACATCCTTATTATAGCTCTCTACATCAACAATCAGTAGCTAATCTATAATAAATAAATTATCTATATCATTCTCAGTATATGTATCATCTCTAAATTATTTCATTTTCTTCTCAGTTAGTAATGAGAGTGAGTTGTTATTAATTTTAATAAGATTAACTCTCTATCTTTATCTCTTCTTATTCTGCTCTATTTCTGCTTTATTCTCTCTACATTATATAATTTTTCTATTTACATTCTTAACAGTGAGAATATCTTCTAGCTGAATCTGCTGATGACTTATTTTAACTCTGTAATATCTATTTATAATTAAATAGTTCTTTAATTCAGCTGCTCACTGCTCATTAAGTTCTGTATAAAATAAACTAGTTTTAAAGATCTTTTTCAGACAGTCTGTTAAACTGAGTGATTTTAAATTCAAAGTATTTTTAATACTTCAAATAACTTTTTCTGTAATATTAATCTAATATTACAGCTTTTAAATTATCTTTAATAAGAATAACTGAGAAGAGAAGATAGTTATATAATCAGAAGTTTTATTATCTTCATTATATATTTTAAATAAAGAAGATAATGAAATTCTCTGCTTAAGAGTATCAAGAACATAATCAGAGTTTTATAAATATATATTATATTCAGCTCATTCTGTAGCTATTGTATTATATTTAAATATCTACTTCTGAATATCTGATAGATCTTGTAAAAACTGCTATTTTTCATACTTTTCAAAGCTGTAATATACAGTATAGTTAACTGCTTTTAAATGATAATACTTATATTACTGAAATAATAGACTGTTGAAAGATTACAGTAAATAAGTAGTATGTAAAGAGAATTTATATAGAATTATATTATAAAAATTAATATATTATAGAAACTTCTCTATTATAAAATTTATAATTATTTATTAAAAGTAATTAATAACTACTCTTCTATCTCTTTTTTATAATCTCATTGAAGTGTTTAAATTATTTAAAATCAATCTTATTATTTATAAATTCAGTATTTAATATAGTAATCTTATAATTATTAGATAAATCAGTCTATGTATATTAATTCTTCAGATATAATTTTGAGATCAAGATTATTAATAATAAAATAATATAATAGTTAATGAATATTATTATTATTATTATTCTTTCATTATACTTATATATAAGTGAAGCTTATAATGAGTTCTTACATAATGTTAAATACAGACTAAGTGTTAATTATACAGAAGAAAATACAGATGTTAAGATTATACTAAAATAATAAGAATATAGAAAATACAAAGAAGTAACAATTAAATACATATAATAATAACTTCTTATCTCAGAAATATAAAGTAATTTTGTTGAAGTAATTTATACATCTCTATATTTATTAGAAACCTGAGATGCTTGAGTTCTGAATTTAATGTATTCTCTGCGGATTTCAAACTCACACGCCTTGGTTTCCCACGTCAAGACACTATCAGATGGCCGTATTTAAACTAGACTGACTGTGTGACCGTGTCTGAGATCAGAATCAAACTTTACAGTTATTACATTATTTAAAAGCATTACTTATAATTATAATTTATATTCATTACATTGATTTCAAATCATATTATTCTAAATATTAAAGATCTCAGATTTACTTTTCAAATAAAAATCTAGTCTCAGATAAAGAATATATTTAAATTCTTAGTTATATTTTTATTCTGATTCTATTATTCAGAATGATATTAAATAAGATTATAAAATTATTTCTCACTTACATAATGTGGCGGGCTGCGCCCGATCAATTATATAGACTATTCCGTACACTTCATAGATTCCTACCGCCTCATTCCCGATCGCCGATCCTCAGCTGCTATGAACATGTATGTTCCAATCACTGATCCTCAGCTGCTATAAACACGTGTATATTCTTCCACCCTGAAGCACCACTGTGTACATCACCACATATATGTATAAATATTCACTTCAATTGCTGATTCTCACACTTTCTCTTTCTTTTCTTCTCTAATGTTTTTCTCTTTATTATATAAGATCTATCAATATTATACTGATCTATTCAGTGTAGATCTCTTACACTAGAAAAATGTTTATTATCTTCTTATTAAAAATGATTATTCATGTATTATCTTCTCATTAGAAATGATTATTCATCAAGAGATATTCAAATATATAATAATATATAAGAAAGAGAAATAATCAGTTAAAGCAGATACTGAGTTCTCAGATAGAAGCTTACTTATCAGTCACTCTGACTCTGTAATAAAATCTTATAAAGAGAGTAAGATCTTATAAGAGAATATCAGTGAAAGATCTGAGAGTTCTGACACTCAGATATATGAGATATTCATATAATTACATATTTAATAATTGATAACTATGTCTAATAATAATATGAGAGAACTTTTGAATGTAAGCATAGAAGTGATATTACAGTGACTCTGAGCAATGTTAAAATTATAACAGTAATAAATAGCTGATATGCATGTAACTCAATAATATTAATATGAAGAGATTCAATGATTATCATAATAAGAAACTCAGACAATTTCAATATCTATAGAATTGAATATAAAAGTGCTGAAAGAATGCTTAGATACTTTTATATATTTTAATACTTCTGATCTCACTCTCTACTTATTATGAAGAATAGAAATACTTATGAAACTGAGTATAGATGAAGATATTATCAGTTCACTAATCAATCAAGATTAGTATATCAATAAATGATTGAAGAATTGTATGAAATAGAAGTTTTATTCATAACTAAAAGCATATAAATCAGTGTTATAAATGCCTGATAATATTATTAAATATCTTGATATTCTGTTCTGAGACACTGTCATGTAATAGAAAGTATTAGATTGATTACAGAGTATCTGACAGAGAAATACTTCTCTTACAACATTCATCTCTGACTTTAACATTAAAATTCTAGAAGTAGAAGATTAATCTTGAGAGAATTGAATAAAGATTAGTATGCTTAAAAAGATATTAACTTTCAAACTCTTACAGACTCTTATAAGTGTAGATGAAGACCAGACTTATAAAGACTTCTATATACAGCTCTGAACATTGAATAACTGTCTTATCAAGCTCAAGAGTATATAGAACAGTGATAGAAGATACTATATCTCAGTGACTTATACATCTGCACTGAAGAATAACAATGATGCAAATGCTATGAATTGAGTAGACTTGAATATCTATATATAAGCAAGAGTTTCTGCTGTTTAAACAGGCTTCTGAGTTTCTGATATCACTTCTGAAGAAGTCACTGATTAATGTTAATAAGAAGTATACATCAACTATAACTGATTAGAGTATATTGCTTTTAACTGCTGATTAACCTATGTATCTCCTTAATTAAGAGAAAGATTGATATCTTCTTATTTAAAAGATGAATCAGCATCTGTCTATATTAATCACATTGCAGTGAAGAAAGATTTAGAAGATAACTATAAGAATATTCTAATGAAATAGAAAAAAGATTAGCTTCTGTTTAAATTTGTAAATAGAAGCTTGAAAAGATCAGATAATAATAATTTGAAGAGAAAATAATAATGAATATAATTCTTGTATCTACTGTGATTGATAATATATATAATATAAAAGTCATG